GCATTATCCATCTTCCATCGTCTAAAGGTTCATCAAATAGACATGTAACAGACAGCATGGTTATCCTGGATAAATGTAGTTATTATGAAGCCCCATTGTAGTTGAAAAATCTGCAATTTAGAATACAAGCGCGTAAAAACAAGTGTAGTACCATTTGCCTTGACCTGCGACCTAACTACGTACAGGCCAACAAATCAGCTGCTCTGGGGGTCGCATGATCTGCGGTATTTGTTTTTTTCATTAGGTTTATAGGTTCCGAGATAATGTGGTTGTGGTATTAAATGTCCCATGTCAGCAAACAGAAGGCGGCAAATACCTCAGGAAATTCCAGCGGATGTTGGCGTCGTAACCTGTCAAAGACAGGTGCGGGTTGCAGCAATCAGTGATTGTGCATAAAGACGCGTGTTGTAAAGAGAGAAAGTCGCTACAATCTAACGATAATTTAATTTAACTACAATTTAACAATTTATATCATTAATTGTTGCATCATTTATGACTAGCATAATTTGAACAGCACGGTGATCGTGCTTCGAAAAAAAGAAATACAGAAAAAGAGTGGCTTTTTTGTGAAAGCCAGCTTTTCTCTACCTTTTTGTAATATTTCAGACAAAAGTATTGGGGGTCCAAGCCAGCATTGCATGGAAAGGACAGGACCCTCATAAAGGAATACAAGTGGACGCCCGTGCCAGCGCCTGCCGTCTCCTCCCCGCCTGACCCCAGTGATCACTCGCCGGACTTCCGCGGTACGGCCCGGTCTGCCAAGGTCCGGCCGGCCGTCCGAGCCGTGGGCGCCAGGAGTGGCGCCCACCCTCCAGCCGTCCCGACCGAGGTCAGCTGTCCTGCAGCGGCCGTCAGCTGATACGATCGCCGCCCTACGCGGCGCGCGCCGACCACCCTCGCCGACCGGAGGCACGCGACGCGGCGCGCAGGTGTCGTCCGTGCGGGACAGCGCGGACGGATTGGTCAGGGGCGGGGCTGAGCACCGCCGGAGCCTCTGCTGGAGGGAGGTGCCGGTCGGAGTGCTCCGAGCCCACGCGGCGACTTGGGTCGGTGCCTTTCCGTCGCGCTGGTCGTGGCGGGTGAGTTTGGGACTGACACGAGGGCAATCCTGAAGGTTGCGGCGAAAAAATGCAAACGTCTTGCGCACAGCTTTAACAAATACCCAACAAACGAGTAGAGGAATCAGTTGGATGCTGGCGGGTGGACGAGATCGTACTCCTGCTGGGCATACCGGGAAGCCCGTTTTGTGGTGCTCCGGCGGCCGAAAATACCCGCATCTCAGTCACCGCCGTCCGCCGAGACCACTATAGCGCGCGATGACGCGGCCGCGTCCCGTCCCGTCCCGTCCCGGAAGCCTATCGCGAGATGACTCGGTGGCTTGTCCCGGGAGGCGGCGCCCGCAGGCTGGGCCCTGCTCACGCGTCAGTCGAGCGCGAGCGGTCGCCGGCTCGGCCTGCCCTGTGGTCGGGACTCGACACGGCCCGCGGAGTCGACGAGGCGCCATGGTGGCGGCTACGTGCGTGGGTGAGTGGCGACATTGCACGGATGTTCGTGACGACGGGACGCGGCAGCTCCAAGCTTGACCCGCTCCATTTCGCCCGGACTTCCCGTCTGCCCCGCGGCCATGTAACTCCAGATGAGATTGTCCGGTCGGTTTCAATCGCTCGCAAAGCCGCCACGGCCCGGCTCCCGCTTGCGTCTCGCTGCCATGTGGGCGGCTCGAGCCGAGACGCGACCACGGCTGTCTCCGAGGACCGCGCCGCCCAGCCGCGCCATGTGGGCCCAGAGCGAGCCGGGTGTCACGCTGCCGCGGCGCCCGCCCAACCGCACTGTATGGGCCCAAGCGCGAGCCGGGTGTCACGCGGCGGCGGCGTCCGGCCGGCTCGCCTGCGGTGTCGGACATGCCGGCCCCGCTGACCGCGGGGCGCGCTCTGCACGCGCCGGCGAGGCCCTGATTGCGGCCACGATTAGCGGGCCATGTTTGGCGCTGGCCCATGCGGTGTGATGACGTGACGGGTCGGACGCCCCGCCCCGGCCCGTCCGGCCGCGCCACCGGCGGCGCGCAACACCGCAGATGGCCGGCGTCGCTCCAGGCTGACGGTGCGCGCGCAGGCGACTTTGTTGGTGATCGTGACGTGGAATTCGTCCGCTGGAAAATCCCTTTCCGGTCCGGTCCGATTTGGAGACGATGCAGCTGTGGGCTGAGATTCCGGAGGGATTAGTAAGCACGAAAGACTTGGCGGCCCCCACGATGGCGCATCAGTGATTGATTACGTTATGGCGACCGGCTGACACGGGATGGCATGGTTGTAATGTACACAATTACAGCGTATTTTCCAAACACACGGTTTGTGCTATGTCCACGCGCTATATACGGTCGTAGATACGAGTGTGACGGGTGCATCGACGTTCTTGTGTATCTGTCCGCCAGTTTTTGTTGCAAACCACTAGCTATGCATTTCAGCAGTCGTTCGGTGGCTGATGTAGTTTAGTTACAACACAATAACTTTTTAAGAAGTTTTAAGACGATGATTCACGTGCCACTGATCTCGGCAGTTTTGTTGACTCAGCTGGGGCTACCATTTTTACAGTGTAATTATCCTACGTAAATCGACTCGCTGACCGCCTCGTAAGAATGAAAAGGTATAACCTTGCATCCTGCCAGAGCGTGGCGATATCGTAAAGGCAGAGATGATGCGATCACGGGTTCACGTTGCTACGTGAAAGCGCGCCAACTCGGTCGATTGGCGCGGTTTTGGCAGCCACCGGCCCTCGTTGTCGCTGAAGAGTGAAGAGAGAACATTATCGAGGCTGTTGATACTGTTTCCCTTTGAGCTGCGAGGAGCTAGCGCACGGGTTCCACCAACTGCGCCATGGCTCCCGCCAGAGGCACTAGCGTCCAAGTTAATATCCCTGTTCTGGCCGGTTGTCAAAGTCAGATAGTGTTTTATGGCAGCATGCTCGGCGCCTGCGGCAGATCGTCGTGAAGCCGGGAGTCGTCGAAGACGGGTAGATCAGCCCAGCCCGCGCCTTGCAACTGCATCGCGCTCGGATCCCGTTATCATAAACAACCATCAAAATATACAGCCACTGCCGTATCATCCATGGGAGCTATTTTCGGTCGTAAATATTTTGCAAGCGCCTGGTGTATAATGGCGGATCGCGCGGACCACGTGAGCATAATAATGACGTCGTGGCCGTTTTATGGTAGTGGCCTCCTAGAGTGCGCCCTGACGGCGGCGGGATAGCCGGCCGCTGCCTTCGCCTCATCCCCACCCTGGCCGCCTCCGGTGGACGTGGCGGACCATTGTCCGGTCGGGCCGCGTCGCGACGACACGGCTGATGCCGCGCGGCCTTGGTGACCGGCTGCCGGCCTCCGCGACCAGCCGGCCCGGCCCGGCCCGGCGCGTCACGGCCGGCTCTGCCGCCGCCGCCGCCTGCTGTCATCAGCTCGGGCTGCGGGCCTCTGCCAGCACTGTCTGGTCCCCGTCACACCTGCGGCGGTGATCTTGACACTGCTTCGGCGGGTGTGATCTGCACCGCGATAACATGTTATGCTTAGGTATGCCGTACGTTAGGGTGTGTTCAGTTCTTTCGGCACGCTACTGCAGTGCGGACCCATGGATGGAACCAGTTATGTCTCATTGGAGGAGCTGTGCCCCCCCCCCCCCCCTCCACCTCTTCAACATCTGCCTGGGCCTCCAGAATAGTTGACCGAAAATCACTGAAACCACAGAGGGCAACAGAAACCTACATGCTTTGAGCGGAGTCTGGTGTGGCTCGACCCTCGCTCACCATTGATTCTGATGAGGCTTGGCTCACGCGGCAGCCCATTTAGCAGCCCGCCTCTGCACCGCCTACCCAGTTAATTACCGGCGTAATGATTCCGCACGTCGGCACCGGGCGGCGAGGAGGCGATCGGCGTCGAATGAGACAGGGCGCGGGAGCGTTTTGTTCGCCGCCCGGAGCGGGGAGAGTCCTAGATGAGCCAAACATCGATAATTTCACGGCTAGAGGCGCCGAGTCACGCCGCGCTGGCGCCGATGCGGTCCGGCCGCGCTCAGCTGTACTTTCGCCGGCGTCCCACGCGTGCGCCGACGCACGTGCGCGCGTACGCACTCAGCGTCGGGTGGGCGGGAGCGGAACGAATGTGCGTATGCCACTCACAAGCCGGGAAACACAGTCAGATGTGTCAGCCGTAGTTTTGGCGTCAGCTGGCGACTAACCAATGCGGATGACGCGGGTTCAGCCGCGCCCACCGGAATGCCGGCCAGGCTCGGGCCGGCAGCCGTCCAGTCCGCGATTCTCGTTAGAAAGTCGAGCTTCGGTAATTGTGTCACGGCATCGACTGGGCCGATTTGCGCGGCGATTTCTTCACCGGCGTCGGCTGCAGGGGCGCGGTGGGCCGGCAGATGGCCGGCCGGCCCGCCGCCAGCTGTCACGGCCGGCGCTGACGCCTGCCCGCCCGCGCTGCGCCGCCCGGACCGGTCCCGGCCCGGCCCGGCCCGGGCGCGTGTCGCCGCGGCGCCGGCCGCCGGGCCCCATCGGCGATTGAGATGGGCTGGCGCCGCGCGGTGACGAGCCCCTGCTTTGACGGCTGAACACTGTGTATGGCGGCTGGGCCGGGCGGCGCCGATCGACGGCCGCTTTATCGCATTGGCGCGTCGCCGTCAGCTGCTGCCAGCCCCACATTTCTCAAGACCTTGAGCGGCGCGATTTTTTACCGGACGCTGTCGGCTGGGGCGCCCGTTTCGGGGCGGGGTCGGGGCGGCGGCCGCGCCCGGCGGCCGTGGCGGGTCGTTTTCCGGCCAACCGAGCGTCTGCCGTTGTCCCGACGCCTTCAGGTGACGCGACTGCGGCGAAATCGTCGCGCTTGTGATCAGCTGCGGCCCGGCGCGGCGCCGCCGCCGCCGGCGGGCGGGCGCTGGCGGCCGCGGGAGGCGGTGCTCCATGTACGGCCGGTCGGGACGCCACTCACCGGGCGCGCGCGGCTGTTTCAGACGCGGCGGAGCGGCCGGCGCACACGGAGGGCCCGCTGGACGGCTCCCTGTACGCCACCGTCATCAAGAAGCCGTCGACGGGCAGTCCGCGAAGCCAGCCGCCCAGTGCCGCCGCCGCCGCCGACAGCCATGAGCTGCACACGGTGTCTATGGACAGTGGCATATCGAGCAGTGGCCGCGAACGTCTGAGCGGCGGCAGCAGTCACTCGCCGTCCGGTCCGCACTCGAGCAGCTCCGGCCGCTCTGCTCCCTGTGATAGCAGCCCGCTGGCCGCGCCCGAGACCTCCCCCGCCACCCCTGCCCGACCCGCCCTCCGTACCGCAGTGGAAGCGAACGCGCGTGTGAAAAAACAATCGTCGGTGGACGCGACGCAGCTGGACGCAGTGCTTGAGGGACTGCGGGAGAACTGCTCCAACATCCCCGACCTGCGGCCGTGCCAGACTCCGGCGCCAGATATAGACGCGATTCAGGCGCCAACGTTTGCGGCGAGCGCGCCGGCGCCCAGTGCGAGGCCCAGTGTGCGCGGACGCAGCGCCGCGGCGGCGCACAGTGCGCCAGACGTCGTCGACGTCAGCTTCAGCTCCGGCTACGGCTCCACGCAGTCGCCGCCGCAGCCGGCGCCACCCGCCAGCATGGTCCACTACAACGGCTACAAGTCGGACTCGACGTTCAGTGAGTCGTTCAGTGCCAAAGCCGAGGAGGAGATTCCGTACCACGCGCGCGCCGACAGCAAGCCGTTCTCGTACGCCAGCTTCGGCGCGTCGGGCGCGCGGCGCAGCCTGAGTCCGGCCGCGCCGGCCCGCCAGAGGTCACCGGAGCTGGAGCCGCCGCGCCGCGCCGACGCCGAGCAGCGCCGGCCCGAGCTCGAGTCGCCGCGGCTCGTGCGCAAACTGCTCGTGAGCGGCGCGTCGCAGCCGGCCGCCAAGCAGCCGACGCCGACGCCGCCATCGCCCAGCCTGCCGCGCAAGACCTACACACAAGACCTACCGAAGACCTACACCAACGGCTCCTCCGGCAAGTCGGTCGTGACCGAGACGTACGGCAGGAGCTTCAACGGTGGCGGCGTCAAGGCGCCGGCGACGGACACGCTGCGCTCGCAGCGCTCCTACAACTCGGACACGCTGCCGTCGCACCGCTCCTACAACACCGACACCATGAAGTCGTACAACACGGACACGCTGCGCAGCAACACGTCCTACAACACGGACACGCTGAAGTCCAACCGGTCCTACGACTGGGAGAGCACGATCCGCTCGACCAAGCCGTCGCCGCCGGCGCCGGCCGCGGCGCCGGCGGCCAGCCGCGCGATGGAGCCGTACAGGCGCGCGCCGCCCCCGGCGCGCAACATCGATATCAACCTGAACGACCCCAGCGCCAAGACGGTAACCACATACGACCAGAACACCAACTCGATGACGACGGTGAGCACGCAGTCGTTCGACGTGCCGTGCAGCCCGAACCCGACGCGCAAGATTGTCGAGACGACTAAGCGCTACATGGTGGACGACGAGGACGGCGGCCAGGCCGGCGTCACCAAGATGGAGGAGACCATTCGCGAGTTCGTCATCGAGGACTTGCCGTGAGTACTCGGCGCTGGCTCGGTGCGGTGGTGCGCTTGTCTCGAGCTCTGGTTGGGCTGGGTCGGGCTGGGTCGCGTCGCGGCCGGCCTCCAGTTCCCAGCTCATGACGAGTTGCTTTGTTTTCCCTCACGCGTGCTTTGGGTCGTCTTGCACTGGCTTAGTGTGCGATTGCCCGGTTTGTTTTTGCTGTCGTGTTTTGTCTTGCCTCGGATCGTTCTTGCCCCGCCCGAGTTTGCTTTCGTGGCGCTTGACTGATGCTGTTTTGCCGGGCGCCTTTGGTGACCGGCGTGATCGGTGGGCCTCATTTGAATATGATGACGCAGGTAAGTTATTCCTGTCTTGTCCTGTCGTGTCCCGTCACCGACCTCATATATTCATCCCAGTCGTGGCTGGGGTGCTGCCAGTGAAGAGAAGTTGCTATGGGCGCTGCAGTGTTTTGTGTGGTGTCCGATCAGCTTCGGAACGTGGTCTTGTGCGTTTGTGTGTGTGTGTGTGTGTGTGTGTGTGTGTGTGTGTGTGTGTGTGTGTGTGTGTGTGTGTGTGTGTGTGTGTGTGTGTGTGTGTGTGTGTGTGTGTGTGTGTGTGTGTGTGTGTGTGTTTTGCGTGTCCTTGAGTGGGGCGTCAGCGACCGGCTGATTATCCGTGTCCTCGTGGGATCACCAGCCATCGTGGCCGATTGATGGTTCAAGGTAAGTCAGACAGGGCCATGACGATCCCAAACCGCGTCAGCTTCGGCATCCAGTCGGCCTTCTCCAGCATCAGCCGACAGCTGAGACGCCATACGGCGCCGGATTCTCCGGGGAACGCCGGGACCGTGTGCCGCGTGGCCTCCCGCGTCGCCAGCGGGCTGCTGTCGCGCCGCGCCGGCGGACGCTCCCGGCTGCCCCGCCCTCGTCCGCCCTGACCGTGCCCTGCAGCCCGCAGCCGCCCGGCCGGCTGGCGCGCGCGGCCGCGGCGGCGCTCGCGGCGCGGCCCCGGCGTGACGTCAGCCTCGACCGCGGCCGTCTCCGGACGTGCCTCGGTCGCCGCCGGGTCACGCCACGTCACTCGGCCGCCGCGTCACCCGCTGCTCCGCCCGCGTGACGTCACACCGCCGGTGTGACGTCACGCGTCACGTCCGCTCTCCGGCGTCGGGTGACATCATCTGAGCCGCGCCCTCAGCCGGCCTCACAACGACACCCGCTCTGCTTGGCGCGTCGGTGCCGCTCTGCACCCGTTTTGCACCCGCTCTGCCCGGCGCGTCGATGCCGCTCTGCGCCCGCTCCGCCCGGCGCGTCGATGCCGCTCTGCACCCGCTCCGCCCGGCGCGTCGACGCCGGCGTCGCTGCGCGCCGGCGACCGCGCGCGGGCGGCGCGCCGCGGTGCCGCGGCCCGGAAGCGCGCGCCGCGCGCGGGTCAGGGCGGCGTCCGGCCGGCAGGTGGCCGTCGTGACCTCAGGGTCTGGCCCCGGCGACCTCCGGCCGCGTCGTGTTCCGGTCCGCTATCGGGTCCTCGTGCGCGCCGCCAAGGCCACTGGCTGCCTCGAGACGTGCTGAGGAGATACTGGGCCGGCCTTGGCCGCTCAGGTACACGGGACGTGGCCAGGCCGTCACCAGGGCACAGCGGGCGCGGCGCAACCGGCGTTGTGTTGACGGCGGGCGTTGGAGGGCAGGGCCGCGGCCATGGTATTGGTTGAGTTGGAGGGGATGGGTGATCCTGCTGCTGGGCTCTGTGACCTCTCAAAAGTCGCGCCTTGCGCTTCTCATCGTGCCCTCTCCTCCGCATGTCTTTGCCGCCGCTCGGACAGCCTTGTCTCGGTCTCGGTCTCGGTTTTGTCTCGGTCTCGCGTACTAGAGTTTGCAAGCCTCAGGTGCGACTCCTGATCTAAGACCGGCAGCGGGCGCCGCCACGCGTGTCGTAACGCTACCCTGTTCGCCACGCGGTACCCGTGATCTCGGCTCGCTTTCGAGACGCCGCCCGCCACCCCCGGTCCGGAGCGCGGCGCGCCGTCCTGCCCGGCGTGGACGCGTCACCGCCTCTGCGGCCGGTGACGCACTGGGCGTCGCCCCTGCAGCCGCTGCCGTCCTCCCCCTGCGCCCGGCCGCTGCAGCGGCGCCAGCTGCAGGGCTGCAGCCGACCGCAGCGCCGGCCGGGGCTGCAGCCGACCCTCCAGCGCCGGACACCAACGCTAACGCCTCCGTGTCGGCTCGGCGCACAGATCGCGCATATTTGCTGGACTCCCACGGCGCTCCGGCGTCTCCCATTCGCGCGCGGCCGCCCACCTGCGCCGCCGCCCGTCTCCACGCGTCGTCGGGGCGCGCGTGATGACGTCACCGTGACGTCGCCAGGTCTCCGGGCGGCCGCCCGATGCGGCAAGGCCGCGCGCGCGCGATAGCGGTATTTTAATGAGGGCCGAGCGCTCACGCCGCCACGGATTTCTCCGCTGGTCAGAGGCGCTAAAACAGGCGCTGGCCGGCGCGGGGGGCGGACGCAGAGGCGCGCTCTCTGACGGAGCCGATCTGCGTGGGCTCCTCGCGGCCTTGAAGCGCCGCCGCGGCGTCGCCCACACGGCGCCGTGCTGGGCGGTTTTTAAGTGAGATCGGCAGGGAGGAACGAGCCGCGGGACGCCCCTCTCGTCCGTTTCCGCACGAACTGCTGGTCGCTGGCTTGTCCGCCAAGCTGGTCATATAAGGCCGACCTTCTGAAGCGGCCGTCACGCGACGGACCTGGTCCTCGGGGCTGCTGTCACGCGACGGTCTGCGTCCAGAGCACCTGGAGCTAACGTGTCGCGGCCGTCGACTGGCCGAGCGGGCCACCCCCGGCTGCGTTGCCTCGTCCCGGCAAAACGAGACGGCGGCGCACGGCCGGCCGCCGATCTCAAACCAGGCCGATGCCGTCCGGCGGCTGCGGCCGTCCGTCGCGTCCGACCGCTGGCGGACGGGCCTCGGATCGTTCGGCCACCCACCGGCGCCCTTCACTGGCCGCTCCGCCAGCGAGGGAGCGCGGACTGCAGGCGCCACTGCCGGACGGTCAGCGCTGTCCTGCGCGCCGCCAGCATTCCGGCCGGCCTTATTCGGAGCTGGTCGGCGCGCAGCCCCGAAGCGGGCCCACCACAGGCATGCATCCGAATTCAGCGGCGGACCCCAGGAGCGGGATTCAAATGCGCCGCGGTCGATCTCCATCATCCTGTCGCCGGTGGTAACGGCGGCCCGTGCCGGCGTTCCGGTGGGTGTGTGGCGCGTGCCGGCGCGCGTCGGACGCCGGCGCCGCCAGGCGTCGCCACCCTCGCGAACGAGCGCCGCCGGCCGACGGCCCATCGGTCAGGGTGCGTCGACGCCGGCGGGCGTCGCCTCTGACGGATCGGCCGCCGCTGCCAGGCGGCTCCAGCGGTCAGCTGTGCCAGGAGCGCGTCAGCCTCGGGCGCGCGCCGCCGCCGGCGCGCGGCGTGCTCCGCCCAGAAGAGCCAGGCAGCCACCGCGCTCTCATCCCCACCCCATCCCCGTCCGCCTCGTCTCTGTCTTGGCTCCTGTCAAGCCGTGACCGACCGCCGGCTGTGCTTCCGGCTGCCGCTGGCCGTGGTGACGGCGGTCGCGGGCGGGCAGCTGGTGTCACGCCGCAGAATACGGTCGGTCCACTCCCCGCCGCCCTCCCGCCTTGCCGCACCTGACCTTCTGTGCTATTTTCCTTGGTGCACGTGCCTGTTGTTGGCGCCCCAGCACGGGCGTGGGAGTCCTATTTATATTCCGGTCGGGCGCAAAACAAGTGCCGCGCCACTGGCGGCGCGCCCACGCCGGCCGCCCAAGGCCTGTCTCCGGGTCGGCAGCGCGCTGGCGTGGGGAGAGGTGTCGCCCGGCGACGGCGGCTGTCAGGGCCGCCGGCTCCCGCTCCGACGGCCGAGACGGGCTCTGGCAACCCGCTGGAGCCGATTGCCTGCCGCTCGTTCCTCTGAGGTCGCTCCTCTTGTGTCTGGCTGTCGGTGCTGACTGGCAGTGTCTGCCCTGCCTTTGCGTCCTGCACTTCTGAGCCCCCGCCGTCCTACTCCAATCGTTGCTCGCGAAGCACTCGCGGCGACATTGCGTCGAGGATGTTATTCCACGCGCTGCCAAGCCGACTGACACCTACCATACGTCCAGGACCTACACGGTTCGACGACAAATGACTATGCCACGTGGAACACCGAGTTTCCATTAGCTCGTTGACATTGCTTAAGTTTTCATGACATAACACGAAGCCTAGTGGAGGCAGCGTGGAGCTGTGTTTCCGGTCGAGAGCGGTGATGCTGGGGGCGCCTCCGACCGCCCCCCCCCCCCCCCTCTCCAGCGGTTGACACCGCCGGCCGTCGCTGTCTGCTAGCGGCGTCTGCACAGCGTCAATAGATTAGCCAATATGCGTCCGTTACGGTCCAGCCACGCGCTGTCATTCGCAGCACGCTCCTCATCAGACGAGGCGCTCTCGACGTCGCCAACGCCGAACGTGGAATGCGGCTAATAGAGTAATTTGTGTTAGCTGTAGCTGCCGACAGATGTCGGAATGCGTCCGTCATTGTCGTCGATCGCTCAGCCGGGCGCTGTCCGCTTTCTGATGCGCAAAGCAATTCGTCCCTGCGGCGGGGCGCATTTCGCGGTGGTAAACAAGTCGTCTGTTTGCGGCGCCGCCACAGACAGTTTACAGTCACGGTTGCTGGCAGAACGGCCTCCCGCGGCCCGTTTGCCAGCCCGGCCGCCGGCGATGTAGCGAGAGTGCTGGCCGAAACTGGCGCCGCCGAGTCACCGCCCCGGGGCACGGCGGACGCGGCTGCGGAGCCGTCGCCGAGCGGAAGGCTGCTCACGTCGGAGGGAGCGTCGGGTCTGACGCCTGTCGCGTCGCTGCGGAGACAAGAGTGGAGACAAGCGGCGGGACGTCCGCGGTGGGGGACCACGGCCATGACACCCGGCATGTTTGAGACGATACAGCGCTCGGTTTCAGCGCGCCGCCGTGTGAGAGCTCAGGTCAAGTCGGATGTGAGGCCAGAACGGACCGGCTGGCGCCGGAGGAGGAGGGGGAGGGGGGCAGGCCCGTCACGCGCGCAGAACCGTGCGCCAGACGCCGCGCTCATGCACAGAGTGAGTGGCGATCAAAGCGGCCCGTGGTGGCGCCACCTGTGGCGCCGGCGGCCTGGGCTATTCTGGGATGATCTGGAATATTCTGTAGAGATTGGGGTCGCTCATCATCTGGCCTAGGGGCTGACAGCGTACGATGGGCTGCCAGTTACCTCTCACCCCGTCCGACGGCGGCCCCGGGCGATCCGAGTCAGCCAGCGGGCTGGAGTGTCTCTGCTCATACTGAAGACGTCAGTACCGTCGGCGGATCCCTCCAAAAGACAGACACACGTCTCTCATCTCTCATCACATCTCATCTCATCTCATCTCTCATCACAGACGCCCCTTTAATGGCCACCGCAGGGACTGCCCCGGCCGGGAGTACTTCCGTTTAACACCGTCTCGAAACGTCCCCGTGGACGTTGGGGTTTGCTGTCTGGCAACGCTGTTCCACTCACAGCCCTTGGGCCATTTTGCTCCGAAATTCAACCTTTTCATGAACGACCTTCCCGCGTGGCATCGTCTGCCGTTCTTCTGACATAAGCCGAAGTGAGACGGAACGTTTGCGTGCTTTCGTCACCGGCCGTTTTGATTGGCCCGTGATGGCCCGGCGGCGATTACGCCTGGCGTTCAGCACCAGTCCTGAGATCGACAGCCCGCTGGCGCCTCTCCGGCGCCCGGCCGCCGGATTCGACAGTTTATTGAAGCTCAGCGTAGAGCCGAGCTCGGCGGCGCCGCCCTGTCGGCGGGGGGAGGGGAGGGGAGGCAGCGGCGGCGCCGATTGTGCCGGGCCTGCGGCGGCGCCGCCCGCTATTCCTGGCAGCGGCCTGGCTGGAGCGAGCGCCCGGCGCCAGTGCGGCCGCTCGAGGCGCGCTGGTGCCCCCAGCGGCGCGGTGGGGCCCTCTCGGCGCCGAGTGGTGCCTGGTGACCTCCGGTTGGTGCGGCGGACGCCGGGCGGACCGCCGAGATCAGCCATGATCCGCAGCTGGTGAGCGGCCGCGACCCGTCCTTACCTCGGGCCGGCACCGGCGCACGACCGCGGCTGGTCGGACCCGAGCGCCGGCCGTGGGCCGCGCCTGCAGCGCCGCACGCGCACCGAGGCCGTGTGGAGCCTGTCCGCTGTTCCACATCACGTTCCGTCCCCGTTGCTCGAACGGGATTCCATAGCTCCGGTGGTGCGGCATAGCTCCGGTCCCTAGTGACACGAGAACTGCGTGCAGGAGCGCTTGTGCTCGCTTCGCCTTCTCTGCGATCGCAGTTTATTTTTGCTCACATGATTTCCGCTCGGTGACGGTTCGCCTATCCTGCACGCCACGCATTGTTTCTTCACAGAGTGATGGCTTACCCCGCAGTAATGCCCACACACGCGCTAGAGCTGAAGACAGAGGACTACGGTCGGTACTTGCATGTTGCCTCACAGTGATTTGTGTCACCTGATGTCACCACGCCTTGACAACACATTGTTTTCAGGCCGGAGGTCGTGGGGTGGTCTTGACTTCGCGGTGTGGGCGGTAGTGCGTCGTCGACCCTGTGTTGCCCCCCCCCCCCTCTCCTCCGCATCCGTGCCCCCGCGCTGTGTCTAACGACGGGTCTGTTTCCTTCCCGCAGGGACGGCGTCGCCTCGGCGGGCAACGTCACCTGGCTGCAGAAGCAGCAGCAGAAGCTGCGGGAGCGGAAGCAGGCTCAGCTCAGGTCAGTGTGCGTCTTAGGTCTCCGTCTCTCAGGTCTCCGTCTCTCAGGTCTCCATCTCTCAGGTCTCCGTCTCTCAGGTCTCCGTCTCTCAGGTCTCCGTCTCTCAGTTCTCCGTCCCTCAGGTCTTCGTCTCTCAGGTCACCCTCTCTCAGGTCTCCCCCTCTCGGGTCTCCGTCTCTCAGGTCTCCGTCTCTCAGGTCTCCGTCCCTCAGGTCTCCGTCTCTCAGGTCATCCTCTCTCAGGTCTCCGTCTCTCAGGCCTCCGTCTCTCAGGTCACCCTCTCTCAGGTCTGCGCCTCTCAGGTATGCGGCGGACGGACGGCGAGGCCGGGCGCCGCGCTCGCGCCGGCGCCGGCCGTCTCGCGCGCGCTCTGTCAACACCGCCGTACTCACGCCTAGCTCGAGTGTTGGTCCAGTGTTGCCGGCTCGGGGAGGCGGGCCCGAACGGACCCCCGGACGGCGGTGAACGTTCAGCAGGAGTGAGGAGCGGACGCGGCTTGTGGCTGGTGTGTGGCGCCGCCGTCTCGTCGTGCTGCCCGTGACATTGCGTGCTATGTCGAGTCGTATTAGTGCGGCTCACGGCTGGTGCAGCCTGGCTCAGTCACGGGGATCAGCGTATGAATATGCTTCGGCGACCAGCGAGGCTGTGGCTCTATCTCTGAATCGACAGACAGCTCTGGCTGGGGGAGATGGCGATGACGTGTGCAGCGATATCGAATGTTGGCACCTGGTATTGGATTACAGCGCCCCGGGCCGCAGTAACATTTCTAGAGGGACCTTCCTTTAGGCAGTTTGTTCCTCTTCAACATCATTTAGTCATTGCTAAACTACCATGACGAGCGGCCTCCTCAGTCGCTACCCTTTTCCTGCGCGTATGTCGACTCTGGGGCAAAAGCGTTTCGGTGCCAACTGTGCTGATTCACGTCTTATAGCGTTTGTGTTATCTGGCGGAGCTGCCTCCCGCGGCTCCTCGGTGCCAGGTGTTAGCATGTAAATGTGAATGATTCTAATGATAGTCTCAAGTGTGGGTAAAACACCCTATGGAGCCAGAATAAGCTCATCGATGATCACCGTAGCTGGTTCATCGCCTGCGACGCCGGCTGCGGCGCTCTTCGTTGTCGGCCTTTATGATCGCCGCCCACGCTGCCCCGTCCCACCCTAACCTGACCTGACCGCGCCTCGACCGTGACCGTTCTCTGACCGTGCGCCCCGCAGGAGCGAGCGGGCGCCGAAAGAGGCGCGCGTGCTGCACGAGCTGCGCCGTCGCCAGGGCCAGGAGGACGGCTACACCTCGGACACCACACTCTGGACGGACACGTCGCGGGAGACGAGCCCGGCCGCGCAGCTGGCGCCGCTGCACGTGCACACGAGCGGCACGCGGTCCGGCAGCTCGGCGCCCGTCTCGCCGCAGCTGCCGGCGCGCGCCGCCAGCCGAGAACGCAGCGTCAGCACCCACCGGTGAGGAGGCGGCGGCGGGACGGTGCCGGCCCGGCAGGCGGTCGTAGCGGCGGAGGACGGGGGGCGGCGGCGGCAGAACGACGCCTTCGGCCTGGCAGGCAGTCGTAACGGCGGAGGACGGGGGGGGGGGAGAGAGCAGGGAGAGCGGGACTGGGGGAGGGAGGGAGGTGTGTGAGAGGAAAACTCAGGATCACGGGGGCTCTTAAACAGTGGCTGGAGCTTGAGGAGGAAGGAGAAGCGTGCTTTCCGCGTGCTGACGTCCCTCGGCGCGCGCTGGATGGTGGGCCGCTAGACGAGAGGCCGACCCCTCAGCCGTCAAAGACGCACACGGGGCGAGACACGCCGACCCAGGCGACCTGTAGAGAAAATTGCGTGTTCCCCAGGGGATTTGGCAGAAACATGATACACGGGTGTCCGGGGGCGCCGAAATTCACACTGTGCGTGCTTTAATATCAGAGGCCAAGAATACCAGCCCCCACAAACAACCCTACGCCTGCTAACAAGCTTACTGTGGCGTACAACAGAACGACCCAGAGAAGGCAGAAAAGACATTAAGGGGATTTGCTTCTGTTTTTCGCTGCAGGCGGCTTGTGAGTCTACCCGTGGTCCCTTACACATCTGCTGCGCGCGCGCCTCCACCTCGCGCCCTGTTTTACAAGCCGATGACAGACGCCATGCCTCAGCTGTTCCGCAGACGGCGACCGCGTGATGAATCGACCCGTCTGTTTTGAATTCGCCGCCAAGCCGCGGGGGAGGCGACCCGACCGGATTTTCATGCGTGTTTGCATTGGCCCCTGAAGAGCGGTGCGGAGCCCGTATATATCGCCCTGTTTGAGTTGGCCTCGGGCAAAGGTCTCGCCTGTAGAAACAGTCGGCTGTTTTGGGAGTGGACCGGCTGAATCCGCGCTGGTTTCGGTTTCGGTGTGTGGTGTGCGGGAGCCCCCCTCCCCCCCCCCCTCCCAGTTGTCGGCTGTGTTGCCCTGTGTGATCAGTTGGAGCCAACGCGGGCTTTGGGGTATGCCCTAATGTCTGCTATGTCCATCCGAACTGTTACCTTGTCATGTGATGATTGTATTCCTTTTCCTTTCATTCCTCAACATGGACAAACCCTGCTATTATTTTAGCTTCGTTCCTCGACTACGTGTCGGCTTGTTTTCAGCGGATTGGAGCCCGCTGAAGCCGCTTACTGACGTCTCGGGACGCGGCGTAGGTATACAGGCCAATTCAGAGTGCGCCGGCCCTCGTCACGCCCGATAGTATTGTGATGCTTGACGTCGCACGACGTCGCGCGCGGGGTCCTGTTGCCGACGGTGGCGCCGCCTGTGCCGCCAGGTACACGCAGCAGGCGAGCGCGGCGCGACCGCTGACCCGGCACCGCTCGGAGACGGCCTACGACCGCGACCGGCCCCACGTGCAGGTGGTCAGGCCCGATCAGAGGAAGGTCAGCGACTCTGACCTGACGGTGAGCTCTGACGGCCGCTCTGGTCCACCGGCCAGGGGCCGGGGCTGGGGCCCTGTGGCCGGGTCCGTGGCCGGGGCCGGGGCCGGCCCCCGGGTCAACGGGTGCAGGGTGGCGGGAGAAGCGGCGCGTAGTTTCAGTTGGTGCGGGGTGTGACCCTGTGCTGCACGTTACCTTGTTGACGCACTTTTGTGCCCTGTGCACTTTTGTGCAGCGCGATGGCATCTCTGCATGCTCGTAACAGCAGGATGTCGTGGAGCTGAGTTACCCAGCGTGACGAGATGAAGGCGTTTGATTTTTAGGACAGTGGCCTCCTACGAAACAGACATCCACTGTCCTGGTTGGTTTGTGCCCATAAAACGCAGCCTAGCGTACACCAGGTGCGGCATGTGACGGGGTGGCCTGTCTGCCTGCGTCCTGACCCTCCGTAACGTCTCTCTGACCCTCCGTAACGTCTCTTTCAGCACCTGATTAATACGACTCAGTACAGTCAATATTCCTCCACCCCCGTTCACGACCGAGATGGACTTCTCACCATCGTGAATGGCCAAAGTGGTGTAAGTTGTCACCTTAGTCACTGTAGAATAGAGTGTGTAGAGCGTACGCTCTCTGACGTGTTGTGTTATCGCAGTGTTTGGTTGCATGCTGCACAAACGCACACGCATACGAAGCTGAGCCTCCTTAAACCAAGCCTGCGCGCGCATAAACGGTCTCGTTTTGTTCGATGCTGCGCCGTTGCCGTGATGCTTGACGCTGCGCTTGCCACTTGGTAATGGGATGATGTCGCCATGCTATATACCAATGAGGGGAAGAGGGGGGGGGGGACACGCACAGAGAACCCAGCGCCAGTCTCGCTTCAGGTCATGGCACTTAGAGGTGGTTGGTCGACGGGGTGAGGGATCCGATCCAGCCCGTCATCTTTTAAGACATGATATCCGTGATTTGTTCTTAAGACTAAAGATTTGCGTGCTTCACGCCTTTTTTATTTACGCCTTTTTAAATATTACAAATTGCTGGTAATGGGTAGTTTATCATGGGTTAAGATCACCCGCGATCGACGATCAGGTCGATCGCAGTCGCGGCAGATCAGTCGTCACTGGCGAGCTCCGCCGGCTCTCCGCCGCGTCTCGCGCGCCGCCGAGGGGCGCCGCTGGTCCGACGAGCGTCGGCGCCTGCGGACCCCGCCCCGCCCCGCCCGGTGGCGGTGCCGGCGGCGCCTGGTCCCGTCCCGCGCGCCGCCGAGGGGCGCCGCTGGTCCGACGAGCGTCGGCGGCTGCGGACCCCGCCCCGCCCCCGCCCGGTGGCGGTGCCGGCGGCGCCTGGTCCCGTCGCGCGCGCACAGTCGGCTGCCAGGGCGGCTGCGGCGGCCGGCGGCGACGCGGCCAGTGACTCGGGCGCCGGCGCGCGGCCGACAGGTGGTGGCGTGGAGCTCCGGCGGCGGCCGCGCCGTTCGGAGCAGGGGGCGGCGCGAGAGACGAGCCGGTTCAGATAGTGCTGAGTGTAGCCCGGATCGCGGAACTCGCTCGGACCGGGTTAGGAGCTCTCGAACGCGCGTACTCCCCGCCGGACTCCCCGCCGGACTCCCCGTGTACTCCCCGTTCGAGGCTTATCAGCCGTGCCGGCGTCCGCGCCCGCGCGCCGGCGCCGTTTATCCGCGTTCGTCGGGAGCGACGGAGACGTGACCATGAGAGTGGAGGTGTCGCGGCCGACGGTGCGGTTCTCGCTCGACGAGCCTCGCTCGGTGGGTACTGCTGACGCCAGCCGACCTTGGCCGTCCCCTGTCAGACCCGCCGTCGGTGCCCGCGGCAGCCCCGCTGCCAATGTCGCCGCGCGCGTCCGACCTGGCGGTCGGCCGATCTCGTGGCGGTATCAGCGTTTGTCCCCGAGGCACGCAGCGCCGCCAGCGAGACGCAGCTACCGATGAGGCCCCGATAGGCACGCTGCCCTGCGCCGGTGCAACAGAAGCGAGAGGGGGGGTGGATGTCAAGTGCGGCCGTGCCTGCGGGGAGGGTGGGGGGGGGGGGGTGGGGGGGGGGGGGTGGGGGGGGGGGCGAGGGGGCGGTGCCGACGGGCGGGTGCGCCAGCGCCCCGGCTGATCTGCCGCCGTCCCACAGACGGACGATGAGATTGACGCCCTGGTTAACCCGGACAGGCCCGACAGCCCGTGGAAGTATAAAGGCAGCGGGGTGTGGGTAAGGTCGGCGCTGTGTCTGCCGCGCACCTGCAGTGCCCCCGTGTTGTCGTCTGTAGCTGCCCCGTCGGTGACTACCGTCCGGCCGCCGGCGGCGGGTCATGCCGCGGCCGGGCCGGGCCCGCGTCGGTGGGAGGACCCACCGGCCCGCGTGGTCCCACTAACACGGCCGGGACTGGCGCCGCCGGTCCCGCCGCGTCGGTGGCGCATAGTGTAGCGGACCCTGATGACCCCAGCCCCGACACGGAGGACCCCCGTGGCGCACAACCACCGAGTGCATTGCACTGCCCTCGCACGGAGAACATTCTCAGGAGTGTTCGCTCGCCGACGAGGCGCCTCTGAGTGAGAACCGCCACGTGGCCAGCGCCACGTGATTTCAGTGCAAACCTCGTCGAGTGCGCGAACCTCCTGGGAATGTCTCATGCCTCCGCTTTTGGTAGCCGGCGGGCGGTGCGTGCGGCTGGCTATGACGTCACCATGCCGTGAGCTTGCTGTTTTGCCAGCCGCCACCGGGATCGCTCGCCATTAAACTGCACGTCCACCCTTCTATTTTCAGCTCACTAAACTAGAAGAACTAACATACCGGTTGATGGTCGTTAACTCACGCAAACCTCACGCAGCCAAGGTGAGAGCGGGGCGGGGCTTGACGCGGGGTTTGAGCGGGGCGGGGCTTGACGCGGGGTTTTCCGACATTCACGCATGCCTGGTGCGGGAGCGGGTCGGTGATGTTCCGCTGCAGTGTGTCGGTTGGCTGTGGATAAAGCTGGACTGCTGCATTACACTGCCGAACTGGCTGGCATGTTTTCAGATGTGTGCATTGCCACTGTGTGCTGCTGAAGCATAAGTAGAACGCAGGATGCGGTGTGCAGGACAGAGTGTACATGATTAGGGAGACGGCTCAACACTTGGTGTGAATGATGCATGCTGTTGTCATCCTCGCAAAACTCACATGTGATAATGCACTAAGCCCTTAATATATATATATATATATATATATATATATATATATATATATATATATATATATATATATGTATATATATGTACATATATGAGTGTGGATGAGGACACATGCCGGCGAAACCAGACTAACCCACATATTATTATGAGCACAGCGTTAAACTTGCCCTCCCCTCACATCTGTTTCCGTTTTCTGCCTGAGGACTGTACTGCCGGCGCATGGTCTGCCTGGGGGAGGGGCGGGGCGTGGTCCTCATTTCCGGCTCGTGCGTGCTGTGTGGTCGCGGGGCGACGGTCCGCCGCTGTGAGACGGCGGCGCTCAGGGAGTGCTGGCCTTGCAGGTGAGGGATCCTCCTGAGCCGAGGCCGGAGACGCCGGCGTTCCCCAACCCGCCGAAGACGCCCTACCAGAACCAGACGCTGCCGCCCAAGAGTCCCACCAGTCAGAGGTGAGCACGGTCGACGCCAGCTTCCGGTATCACCCGACAGATGGCGCGCCGGTCGAGCCGTCGGTGTCTGGCGCGGATTATTGCTGGCAGGCCTAAGTTGGCCATGAACGGAACGCCCGGGAGTGAATGGTTTTGCTCGAACGTGCTTTGACATTGAATATTGGTCCTCTTGTGATGGGTTATTCTTCTCTGAGATGAACATGACAGTATCTTTGCACTTCTACGATTCTCGTGCGATAGTCAGTCATTCAGTGGGTTACAAATGATCTGTAGATGTTGGGCTGTTTAGCGATCTGGCTGTCGCTAACGCTGGGCCACCGCTACCTTAATTTTGTATTCCGGGTTATATGTTGCCGCGGAGAAAATATGCATTTTTGTTCAGTAATATTGTTTCCGTAACTCTGAGTAAACCTTCGAAAGCATTGCTTTATTTGTTATCTTTTTTTATTTTAAGTCGTGTTTTTTTAGTGGGAATCTGTTCAAAAAATGTATATAGCCAATGACAGCCAGATGTCTTAACACATTTATGCCCAGAACCGCTGCTGCAACTCATTAGCCGCTTCCGTAACACTTTTGCCGTCCGTCAGCGAAGCCCACGTGTCAAGGCAACCGCCGCTAATGCCAACAGTCGTTGCTAATGCCTAACCCAGATCGCGATCGTACCAACGGCTTACTCATTCCCGACGAAATGGTCTGGCACGCCTTGACCGCCTCGGCTGGTGCGCGACTAGCCCCTGAACAGACCATGCACTCTTGTGCCTGTAGAAAACTTCTGACCGTGACCCAAACAACAAAAACGTACACGAGAACGGCGGGCGGCGGCGTGGCGCCCAGGTAGGTGCGGCGCCTGCAGCGCCATCTGCACGCCTAAAGGCACCCGGGCCCGGGCTGCCGGCCGCGCCGGCTCGTCCCGCGCGCCGCGGTCAGCCGCTGTCGGCGCGGCCCGACCGTAAGGCTCGCATGTGCCGCGGTCCGGGCCGGCCGCGCGGAGGTGCCGAGCGAGCGGCTGGGACGCGACCGGCGGCCGCCCGGCGTAAACTGAGACCGCAGCTCGACGCTGCTGCGCTGCCGCTCGTGGCGGAGGCCGCACGGAGCACGCCTGCGCTCCCACGGCCGGCACCACGTGACACAATTAAGCTGGATGCCGCCCGCGGAGCATGTTCCTGTGTTAAAGCACCTCGTCGCGCTACCGCCTGCACATCCTTGTTGCCTCAGTGCTTGACCTGCCTCCAAAGCCTGATGGAGATCAGCCTAGATGAATTTCACCGAGTCTCTTCTGTGTCGGTCGTCGTTGTTCAAGGATAGTGCACGATGTCCGAGCTAGACGTTTGTTAGTTACTCGATGCTAGTTGCGTGTCGGACAGTTCTTCTATGCACATGCACGCTACAAGTCTTCTGCAGGGAGCAGAAGACTAACGTGAAAGTCAGCGGATGACTGTGTCGCGTTGCTAGGGTACGAGCGGAGTTGTGTCCACATTGATATCTTTCGGGACCAAACATGCTGTTTTCCCACTTAGCATTTGCTGAAGTGGCATAAAGCAGGCCTTTTTTGCAACGCACATTTCTGCGCGTGTTGGTTGCCTGAATTTCGACTTCACCCTAAGGCGTGCGTGCCGTTCATGAAATACTAATCGTGGGTGTGGCCTGATGGATGCTATGGGTGACTGATTCCTCACGACCCCCGCCCCTCAAAACTCACTGTCATGGCGCGAGCAGCTGTGAAAAGTTTGCTTGTGTTTGTATCTGCTCCCGAGTTTTGTTTTGATTGGCGTTTCCCTTTTGTGGGAAACCTAGCGCAGTTCATTTCACGAGTCTTGTAGCCGCTGCCGTCCGTTCTTTACTCGTCACTGGTATGGGAACATTGCGTAATTTGGCAACATGGCCACGGATGACAAGGTACGAGCTCTTCACATGAACGGCGTTTCCGTGGCCACCAATGGCCTTGCTCTCCTCTCAGTGTGACCAGAGGTTTTGATGAAATCGTCCCGCCGCACGCCCAGCATTTGCCTCACAGTATTTGCCGTGGACGCTCTGGACATTTGATGGTTGTGTTTGTCGTGTCGCACAACTGTCTCCTGTGCGCTTGGCAATGGAAGGCTGACGATTGAGACCTCCAGCCGCGGTACGGCGCGGCGTGTTTTGTTCAGGTGGGACGGCAGATGATGCTCCATGTCGCTACGCTTGTCACGTAGGGGGACGCGTGAAGTAGAGTCGCGGGTCCGTCGTAGATGCTCATCTCTATGTAGACTTTTCTCAATAGAGAAGTCAACCCACTTTATAAATATACGTGTGTCTGTTAGTCATAACCGAGGACCCGTTGTCTCGGTTGCAACGTTGGCTCGGCTTCGGCCTGCGCTCGCGTGGCCCGCTGCCGCTTCCTCCGCGCCGGCGCGCCGCTGCCGCCGTCTGACGAGCGCGTCGTGCCGACAGGGAGCGCTCGCCCTCGCCGGGCGGCCAGCAGGTGCACTTCGAGACGACCACGTCGTTCGAGTCGTCGCCGTCGGCGTACCAGGGTCACAGCCGCCGCTCGTCGGTCAGCTCCGACACCGAGGTCATCTCGGCGCACCCCCACTTCGTCAAGGACATCAGCAAGTGGTGGTACAAGCCGGCCATCAGTCGCGAGCAAGGTGAGCGGCGCAGACAGCCGCGTCCGTCTCGTCGGTGCTGGTGGCGCGCGCCGCGTTTGCGTGGACTTAAGTCTTGAATCCTGCGATAACTGTGACAATAACGTTGAGACTAGGCAAAGTCTAGATCCGAGCATTTGGTTTGGCTCCTGTGCCCAAATTTGCGGTCAAATATAGTTAAATTGGCACATTGAATGCTCCTGAATTTTTGCATAAATTGCTCAATATGTATACCAGTAAATTTATGGCGTTTGTGTCATACCCCTACACTTAAAGTCGAAGACTCGATGACATGATATGAAATCAGGTCAAGGGAAACAGTTATTGTCGGAGATTAGAGTGGAGAATTCTGCGTCAAAGTTGTCAGTCAGACAAGTTCAAACCAACACATGCCATGTTTTCATATCCCCTTCCCCTCCTTCTGATCCTCTGAGACACGTCATTCTCGACAGAAGTCCTGCAGTTGTGTGGCGAATCGCTGCCGTCTCCCCTACGTTCCTCTAACAGTATACTGCGTGCGGCGATGCCTGCGCCGGCGCGTGCTGCGCCTGCGCGTCCCTGGCGCGTCCGAGCGGCCGCGGCCCTGACGCGCCCCTCTGCCGCGCAGCCGTCCCCCTGACGCGCCCCTCTGCCGCGCAGCCGTCACCCTGCTGCGCGACAAGCCGGCCGGCTCGTTCGTCATCCGCGACTCCAACTCGTTCCCGGGCGCGTTCGGCCTGGCGCTGAAGGTGGACACGCCGCCGGCGAACGTGGCGGCGCGCGGCGGCGACGCCTCCAGCGAGCTGGTGCGCCACTTTCTCATCGAGACCACCAGCAAGGGCGTGCGGCTCAAGGGCTGCCCGAACGAGCCGACGTTCGGCACGCTGTCGGCGCTGGTGTACCAGCACAGCGTCACGCCACTGGCGCTGCCCACCAAACTGGCGCTGCCCGAGACGGAGCTAGCCGCCGGCGACGTCACCGACGCGCCGCCGGCCGTGCACGCCAAGCACCGGGATCTCCTCGACACGGGCGCCGGTGAGGACCGGGGGTGACGGGAGAGAGAGGAGGGAGTAGGCGCCTCCATCGGCCCGGCGGTATGGTCCCCTGCCGGGTCGCTGCCTTGACTTGACTCCTTGACGTCTCGACCCCTCGACCACGATGTTACCCCTTGCCCATGCGTATAGGTATGTTTACTTATCATGCATAATATATATATATATATATATATATATATATATATATATATATATATATATTAAGATGTATTGTCTTTTTACGACTTATTGCTGCTGTGCTGATCTCTTTTGTAGATGACGTTTTTGACCTACGTGGTGCACCCACGCTTTGACATATCCCTCCCCACCTCAGTCTGCAGGCCTCAGCTGGAAGTGGCCTCAGCCTGTGCCGCTGTGTGACGGCGTCTGCACCTGTTCCGTTCCAGCCTGCAGCGTGTTGTACCTGTACTCGCGTGACACGGAGGCGCTGACCGGGCCGCAGGCGGTGCGCCGCGCCGTCACCGACCTGTTCCGCCAGCAACAGCCGCAGCCGGAGGGCGTGGTGGTCCACTTCAAGGTCTCCAACCAGGGCATCACGCTCACAGACAGCCAACGCAAGCAGTTCTTCAGGTGATTAGCCGCGCGGGAGTGACGCGCCAACGCGCTGGGTTGAGGCCGGGCGCCGGCTGTGCTGGGCAGAAGTGGGGCGGTCGGCGCACTGGGCAGGGGTGGGGCGCCGGCGCGCCGGCAGAGGTGGGACAGTTGACCGTGCCGGGCGGATGTGGGGCGGCCGACAGTGCTGGGCGGAGGTGGGGTCGCCGACACGCTTGGCAGAGGTGGGTCGCCGGCGCGCTTGGCAGAGATGGGGTGCCGGCGCGCTGGGCAGAGATGGGGCGGCCGGCCGCGCTGGACAGAAGCGACTGTCGTCAAGCAGAGCTGGATGTTGTGGTTATGTGGAGCACCAATGGATGACCCTTGCTGGACCTGCCTGATGGCCGTGTTGACCGTGCGTCAAGGACATTATTCATAAGCAACCAACCATCCATCAGAGGAACGAGTAAAATCGGTTCCAATGATGGGAAGTTTGACGATGTCTCACGCCCCAGAGCTGGAAATCTGACGGTTTCGGCGGGCATCCGTCACACCATCGCTGTCCAGCCCGTGTGCCCCTGTTCGTGCGCCCCGGTGACACTGACCGGTCGCCGGCCTGCAGGCGCCACTACAACACGAACCTGGTGTCCCATTGCGGCCTGGACCCGGAGGACCGGCGCTGGACCCTGCGCGGCGACGACGGGCAGCCACTCGGTTCGCTGTGAGTGAGCTGCCCGCCGCCGGGCGGGCCGGAGGCTGGGAGGCGGCGGCCTCTGACCTTCGGACAGATCGTCTTGTTTGTCGGCCCGTTCGAAAGTCCGGCGGAATGTGGGGCAATATGATGGAAGCTGGCTGGTGGCCGTTCGCATGGAAACAGGGGTTCACAAATGTCGTGTAACTAAGACTTGTGCCGACACATCTTCTGTGAGATTACATGCTCCTGTTGCGCCATACATAAATGATGTTTGCAAAGAAATAGTCGAGCTCTAGGTAATGAGCTTGTTTTGGCCAGCTAAGACGGGTAAGCAGTCGTTAGTAGTTCACTCTCAGGCTGGCGTCGTGCTACCCGGCATGCAAACATGGCGTGGCATCAATGATGCACTTAATTTTCATCGAACTCTACATGAAAGAGACGTGCAACCAGTCAGCTGGGTAACATCTCCCTCGATTGCAGGCGCATTTTCGGCTTCGTGGCCAAGAAGGGCCCATCCACTGGCAACAACCAGTGCCACCTGTTCGCCGAATACGACTCGGACCAGCCGGCCTCGGCCATCGTCAACTTCGTCACCAACATCATGATGACCAACAACTACGGCTCGCGGCCAAACATGCTGTGACGTCACAGCGCGTCCGATGACGTCACCTGCCCTCGGGCACCGCGCGCCGAGTAACATTGCTGGAATGCGTGTGCGGGGAACGAAGCGAAACGGGAAGCGCGCGGTGCGGACACAGTGCGCCAACGCCGGCCGCCTCACCGCCTCACTGTGCTGGAGCTTGCGCGTGCGTCCTGTGACTGCCTTTGTTGCCATATGCCATCACACGTAGATGTATTTAATGGATAGCGCCGTAGGTAGTGAATTAAAGATGCCTGTTGCGACGGAAAAGACAGAGGAGACGCGGCCGCGTGCGTCGACGCCTGCGCCGGTGTGTACAGTCCTGTGTAATCACTAATAGCGTCTCAGTGCCAACTGGCCCCGCCTGCACCGACTCATAGTTTTCTACTCACCGTCAGCCGCGCCGCAGCGGCGAGGCCGCGCGGCCCGCTGCGCCGTTTGTCGCCGCCGCCGCCGCCCTGGCAGTGTCGCCCGCGACCTCGGACGGGGTCAATAAACCGACTAGCGCCCGCACCGGGTCTCCCCCAGCGGCGCCGGCCGCCCGGACCGGCGCTGACGAGAATACGAGCAGTTATGGGCGCCGACCCAGACACGTGGTTCGGTAACCGCTCATGCGTTCATAGCCAACGTCCCGGCTATGTATTGTTCTAAGCGGCCTTTGCATATCAGTTGGTACGACTTCTTGGCACGCTGACACCCGTGGCAGACACGTGGCACCGCGTTCCAGACACGGTGCTTCCATGACGAGGCTTTGAGCTATCTATCGGACGTTGACCCCTGGCCCACCCCTAAGGGCACTCGGCCATATCCCGGCGACGAGTGACCCATACTACGCCCCGATCTTGATGAAAGCCAACCCAGCTCGGCAAGTACAGCTCGACGGGCATTTTCACGGAACGTTTTCTTTTCATGCTTCTTCACGCCGGCTCCTACCAGCGCGACTCTTAACATTGGCCACCCAGCCGTCACTGATAATCCATTCGAGGACGGCTTTTGGGACGGGAACCTCCACGTCTACCATGCGCTGGTGTGCCCGACGCCATGCCAGCTCCCCTGCGAGGACATGTGTCGCCGCTCGAGGAGCGCACGAGCCAACACGCCGCGGTGCTCTCAGCTGTACGACGGTGCAGCATCCGACCTGGCGCTGATGGCCACGTGTGAAACGAGGTATTCAAAAAATGAGGTTGGGAAGTACATTCTCTCATGTTCCCGGGAAAAACAACGCATGCTCTTTTGGTTATCGGTTGTGCTCTGATGTTCTGATGATGTTCTCCCCTCCAAGCTCAGGTCTCGCGCTCAGAAAGCCTGAACTCCTCTGGCTGCCAACGAGCCAGGCCGCGCGCGCATTGCGCTATACGCTGGGTTATCATGCAATGTTTATTTGGTTAGACCCGTTCTGAAGTCCTGAACCCCGCTGGTAACCAATGAACCACACAGCCCAGGGACCGTTTCGCTACACAACCGACTATGGTACATGGTTTATTAGGTTATACCCCGGATGTACATTAGTATAGTAAAGCAACGGTGCCGCCTCTCCCAGCTCGTACAGGTTCCACCACAGCCATATCCCACCCTCTGAACGCGGCGCCTCGCTGCTGAGCGCGGGGGCGGGAGCGGGCAGCACTGTCCAAGCCACGTCCGACAGCGCACCCCGCCGAGCTGCCGCCAGACCTGGCACCGCAGGTGACGTCTTCAACAACCTCGGACCGCTCACATCGAGACCAGACACTGCCCGTCGCGTCCGAGTCCGAGTCGGCCGAGTCCACCCCGCCCCGCCTCTGAGCGGAGCGGCGGCGCGCGGGTCCGCGTCAATCGCCGGGACTGGCGAGCGGCGCCCTCGGAGACTTCATCTGAACACTGTTCCCGCCGGCGCGCCGCCACCGCCCGACCGCGTCTCCCCCCCCCCCCCTCCCCCCGCCCTACCCCTTCTCCTCTGTACATCGGCGCCGTATGGAGTAGGCGCGTGGCAGCGCAGGGTATGAAAATACGTCCGCCTCTAGATTCGCGTGCTCACCAGATCAGCGCCGGCGGCGCAGGGCGGCCAGTACCGCGCGAGCTCAGTCAGACGGTCACACGGTCGGCCGACGACGCAACGGCCCCCCCCCCCCCCCCCCCCCCCCCGCCCCCGAGTCGGCGCCTATGGACTGGAGCCGCCCGGCTGGCCCACGAGGCAGCCTCCACTGCGCGCCCTGCCAGACAGCAGGGCTCCACGAGCGCGCAACACCTCACGGCTCGGCAACAAGCCGCCAAACCTCTGACAACGTCTGGAAGGGAAAACGGACGTGTCCATGTTGGTGAAGAGCTCACTCGGTAAACTTATCGCATGCAGCTGTTACTGTTAGCAGAGCTGAGTGCCCAGAAGCCACAGCAACCGCACTCGATCAGAAATCGGGCACCACACACTACTCGTGACATGGTTTAACAGCATCCTGTTCACTGTTCACTTCAACAGCTATTATACACTGTGCACCTATTCACACGACTTCCCTGTGCGGAGGCCACACGCAATCACCACCGGGATAACGTAGCGTCTTTGTGCCCGGCACGGGCACGTCACCACTGGCGGACCAGACGCGAAACGCGACAAGTCCAGCAGCGCCGTCGTCGCACCCACCCATCATGCTATCACAGGCCGGAGTGGAGGGCTGTCCGTCGCCTGGCGCCGCCGTACCCGCTCCTCAGGCCTCGCCACCGTCGCCGTCGCCGCCGCCGCCGCCGGTCCGCCCGGCGTCCGTCTCGGCCGCCGCCGCCGGCTGCAGCGGCCGGCCCAGGTTGACGTACTCGCGCAGCGGCGGCGGCAGTGGCAGCGCCGCCACGCGCGCGCGCATCAGCTGCGACAGGAGGCGCGCGGCGGAGGCGGCGCGGCGCGCGCGGGCCGAGCGGCGCGGCCGCCGTCGGCCTCCGTCCGCTTCCTCGTCCGAGTCGACCAGGAAGCGGTTAAGATCGGAGCGGAAGCGACGTGCCCGCGTCATGCCGACGCCCCAGCTCTCAGCGGGCGGTAGCAACAGAAGCGGCTCCCGCTCCAGTTCCCGCTCCGGCTCCGGCTCAGGCTCCAGCTCCGGCTCCGGCTCCGAGTCGGAGCTGGCCGCCAAGCCATTCTCGGGGTCGGAGGCGGCGCGCGGCCGCAGCGGCACCGGGCGCCCGTCATCCGAGTCGCCCAGCCCGCTGTCCACCTTGTCGCGGCGGCCGCGCTTCTGCACGGCCGACGGGCCGGCGCCGGCCGCCGGCTCGCCGCGCGCGCCGCCGTCGCTGGAGCGCTTCAGGCCCGACCGTTCCGGCCCGGCGTCCGCGCCGGCCGCCGGCGCCGCCAGCTCCGCCTCGCCGGCCTCCGCGGCGTCGGCAACCCGCTCCGGCTCCTCTTCCGGTGCTGGCGCCAGCTCCAGCTCCGACCCCGGTCCCTGCTCCGGCTCCCGCTCCTCGTCCGGCTCCGGCTCCTGCTCCGGCTCGCCGTCGCCGGCAGCCAGCTCGGCGTACGGCTCCTCCGAGTGCCCCGAGTCGTCGCCGGAGCCGGAGCCGGAGCCCCGCTCCCACTCGTCGGCGGCCATGTGCGCCACGGCGCCGTACAGGATCTGGCCGAGCGGGTGCAGCTGCGCCGGGTCCTGCAGCAGCTCCTGGGCGGCCTCGCCCTCCGCGCCGGGCGGCACGGCCGCGTTCAGCAGCGGACTGACCAGGCGCTGGATGCGCCGCGCCTGCTCGGCGTGCCGGTCGGGAGGGCGGCGGCGCCGCACCGGCCGCTGCCGACAGCTGGTCACCAGGTCGGGCCGCTCGGCCAGCAGGGTCTGACGCAGCAGTTCGCGGATGCTGGTGCGGCACAGCTGCTGCAGCGAGCCGGGTATCACGGCAGCTGGGGGGAGTGTGTGACGTCAGCGGTCAGACGGCGTTCGCCGGCGCAGCACGTCAGCAGTGCAGTACGGCCAGACCGTCAGCCAGCTGGGGCCAGCAGTGACACGACTCACCAGGTCACACAGCCGATCAGGGACGAAACAGAGCCAGCGCGCGGTGCGTCAGCAGTACACCACGGTCAGACCGTCGGCCAGCTGGGGCCAGCAGTGACACAACTCACCAGGTTACACAGCCGATCACGGACGAAAAAGAGCCAGCGCGCGTCTGGAACCACGACTCAACAGCCAACTGACGTCCAGTGAGAGCAACACAGCCTTGCGGGGTTAGCACCCTCGAAAAACACCTGAAGTGTTGTCGCCAGCGCCAGCCGGCGGCGGTGACTTCAGAGGCGTTCGGGCACCCAGCGGCGCCCGTCCCATGCTACTCACGCATCGCCAGCTCGGTCTTGTGTCCACTGACGCGAGGCTCAATAAGCGGCGCGAACGAGACGGACAGCTTGTTCTGCACGTCCCAGCGGTCCTCGGCGAGACGTTCGATCCGCTTCAGGTGGTCCACGATGGGCACCACCAGCACGCCGCCCACCTGACAGCCGGCAGCGAGAAACGGGCGTTAGACAGCCGCCGGCCACCGCGATCCGGCGAGCCGCCCGAGGCTAGACGCCGCCGCGCCCGCCCGTCCCACGGCCACGCCGATGCAGAGCGGCCGACCGGAAATGTCGAGCCCCCCAGCGGCCAGTGTTACAGCGACGCAAACCAAGAACATGACATGGCAGAGGAAAACCTACCCATGCTCTACCGTAACGTCAGTTGCCAGCCGTTATTCAATTGCAATGCGGGTGAGGGTCGCAACCTTGACCAGTTGGAGATAGCTGTTTGAATCATGTCAGCCCCAAGCGATCGTGATGGTGCCGACCTCGAGAGCTAGTTGAGGTAAGACAGCTCCATGTGAACGCACCGAACTAGAGCGGCGGGGGCAGGGCGGCCCCCGGTGAGGGTGGCCAAACTGCCGCCTTTCCTCGCGCTCACCAGGCATTTACGGTAGGGCGGCATCAGCTGAGGGTCCCCACAATCACCCGGTGTTCGAGGTAGGGCGACACCAGGCGAGGCTCCTCACCTTCAGCAGGCCCCCGAGGCCGGGCAGCCGCCGGGTACTGACCTTGAGCAGCTGTTTGAGGTAGGGCAGCTCGGAGGTGGGGCAGCGGGCGCCGCAGTACACCCGGTCATACTGCCGGCCGACGCCGATCAGCAGGCCGTTGCCTGCAACAGGACGGCTGGCTCAGCCGGCCGCCCAGCCGACCAGCCACGCCGCGGCGCTGGCTGGGAACCCCGTGTCATCTCACACGCAAGGGAACGTCTTCCATGCTCCATCCCCGCAGCTGCGCGGTGTACAGCGCCGGTTCGCACGGTGTGCACGGGTTGGGACTGCGCTGAGTGGGACGTCACGCCCGACGTCGTTCTGGCGGCGCTCCGCGGCGTTTCTGATGATGATGATTTGGGCTTTGGGGCGCACCGACTACGTTGGTCATACGGCGCCCATTCGCGGCGTTTCTGATGGAGCGCCCAGCTGTTCATGCATGTCAACACAATGTAGATGCACCATACCGTGCCAATGCAAACATGTAAGATGCTATTTGGGGTATAAATGGTTTGAACTAAAAACAGCTGGTGCACGTTGAAAATAAAGCGAAACTGATCCCGTGCACCATTTGTTGAATATTTACCAACCGATCCCCAGCATGTCGGCGCCCCGGACCGCCCGTTCAGCCCGCACGCTGGGCGTATGGTCAGCATGTCGGCGCCCCGGACCGCCCGTTCAGCCCGCAAGCTGGGCGTGCGGTCAGCGTGTGACGCCCTCGAGTCCCGTCCCAGCCTGTCCCAGCCAGCGGTCGGCGGCGCTCACCGCACACAAACTGCGGCGGACAGAAGTCGAACTGGTCGATGGCCGACGAGTGCCGACTGAACTCGTCCAGCCGCTGTCGGGCGTAGTCGATCACGTCCTGGAACAGCTCCACGCCGTGGTTGACGCCCTGGCTGCCTGCCGGCGGGAGGCGGACACGCGGCCGGTGAGACGCGCCGCGTCAGCCGCCGGCTCGTCGGACCGCGACACGGTCGGGCGAGCGGCGGCGGCGGTCGACAGCGCCGGCAGCCGGCGGCGGCGGCTCGGGGCACGGTCGTGTGGGGCCGGCCGCGCTCCTGTCAGAGGCCAGCCGGCGGCGGCGGCCCGCACTGGACCGCACCGGGTCCGAAAAGCCCCGTACGGTCAAGCTGCGACCGGGCGGCCGAGGCGCTGCTGAGCTTCTAAGACTGCCATCACATTGTTGTGAGGTTTCCTATCACAAGAAAGCGGTTCAACCAAACTGGAATAATCATTCGTGAATGACCAACCCACTCGCATTGACATCGACAATTCGCCAAATTCTATCTGCGTTCAACACCAGACGACCATGGCAAACGTCACTCGCTGATTCCTGCACAGGCTGAGACAGTCCCGTTCCTCACCGATCATCAACCCGACCATAGTGCTGACGTAGCCGGTGCCGGAGCCGATGTTGAGGAAGCTGTGGCCGGGCTTCAGTGTCAGGTTTTCCATCACCGACGAGTAGATACACGGCGCTGATAGATGCAGGTTGTCGCTGCGCCATGCCGTGTCCTGCCGACGGAGCACACGAACAGTGAAGCGCGCGCCGACGGAGAGGCGTACTCCCGCCGGCGCACAGCAAAGAACACACCCAGCGCGCACAGATCCCAGCCGTTCCGCGCAGCCGGCGGCGTCGGCGGGCGGGCAGCCGCTGTGGCCGGCGCCGCGCGGGCCGCTGGCGCCCCGCGTGACCTGAGTGCGCCCAGCGGATGCCATGTGTGAGCTTGGCGTGCCCGGCCGACGCCAGGGCGGCGGCGCACCTTATAAGCGCTCTCCCTGCACTCGTCGGTGAAGTAGTGTCCGCGGTCGACGGCGCGGAAGACGCGCTCCACGCGGCACGACGTGATGCACGCGTGCTCCACCAGGTTGTCCACCAGGTCGTCGTTGTCCTCGCCCGTGCTGACGGCGCCCCCCATCCTGATGGCGAGCCTGACGCCGGCCTCAGGCGGACCACAGCCTGCCGGAGACGGGCGCGCGGCGTCACGTGACGTCACGTGACGGCGTGACGGTCGGCGCGCCTCGTCCCGCCCCCACGGCAGCACATAAGGAGCACGACCGGCCGTCGTGCAATACACCACATTGAGCATGTCATATGTGATTTGGCATCAAGTTATCACGAAACAACATGCAATATGTGATCATGACATGGGCCAGACAGGTGTGTAAAACATGGTTCAGTATGCCATTCCACAGGGGCTTAAAGAATAGCTCATGTATGTAATGAGCAGGCATACTCTTGTTCTTTAATGAACCAGCACTCAGTAAGGGGCTCCTGGACTCACACAAGTAGCCAGATGGACAATTATGCCCAGGATCAAGAGGCCACTGGATATGGTATTTTTGCACATAGCTTCATCACTGAAATATTTTTTTAGGAACAATAACATTGGAAGTGTGTGCAATTTAGAGTTTGGTAACCACATTTTTATTCTTGCAATTTTCAGCTTGGGACATATTGTCAAATTTTCTTTATAGAGCATGAGAGTTTCCACCTGCCCTAATTTTCTCATGAAGTAAAACACCTTCTATCAAAACAAGCTACACCCACTGCCTCGGCCCCTCAGTCTCATACTTAACCCACATATCTTAACGCACTCCAGGTGGCTGGTTCAATACCTTCACTTGCGTGAGGGTCAATTTGACCCTCTGAGATCTCAGAAACTAAGGGGGTTAAAGATACCAAATTCACAGGATGTCTTGGTCTGTATGTTAACTTACTTGTGCCAAAACTGGAGGTTCCTGGGTCATTACTTTTAGGTCAAATAAGGTCAAACAAGGTCTAGCCCTAAGTCAGTGTCTGAAGTCCACCAGAACCCTGCTATCTGTTCTAAGCAAAAGGTCACTGATGCTCATTTGATGTAGTGATCTTTTTTGAACTTTCACCAGTCCTGGTGACCAAGATCATACAGGACTGCTTTAAGTTTTGCATTTCAATGAGCATAAAAGATTATGCTGGGCAGCATGTTCCTAACAACAAAATGTTAACCTGGTCCATTTTGGGTCAGTGACATATTTTGACCTCTCAGAAATCCACAGAAAATGTATAATGTGGCTTCTGTCATAAATTATTTCAAAATGAGCACCAGAAACTATCCCATAAAAGGAAGCTTCACAGCAATAAAACAGGTTGGCTTTGTCCTTGTTCTAACCTTCATACTGGATCCTAGGTCAATAAACTTTGTTCATTCATTGTGTTGTATAAAAAACTATCTCAGAGATGTATGGCTTCATCTAACACTCTGTTGTCACATCTGATTTAACTATTCACTAACCATTGTCTTCACTGAATCCATGGTCTGACTTTGACCTGCCATAAGTTACTGGCCTTACAAGGTACATCTAGATTTTGTATATACTGCACCATTTGGAAACCATTCTGGAAAAACATTCAGCCCTCCAACCAAGCATGTGTTATGCTGTCCATCTGTTGACCTACAGTTAAGTTTAGAAACCTGTATCAAGTGACAGGCACCTGTAAATTAGCATTCCACCCACTTTTCATACATCTTCTACAACTGGTTTGCATGTGTGACATTGGTATCAGAACAAACACTGTGCAGACCTATTGGCCTGTACCCTGAGGCAAGCTTTCAAATACCATGACTCAAATTGAGCTGGCATTTTTGTCTCTAACCTCTAGCTGTATCTGATAATGGGATACAGATGAGTTATTTGCTTGGTCACATTTTTATATACCATGCCACACTACTTACAGCTGACCAGCACCTGGTGCATCCCTTTCAATAAGGAGCCAGCTGGTTGAATAACACAATCATCTGTGGCTACCTGTGATGGTCTCAGCAATGTGTGAGGTCCTTTGTAATCATGGAGACTGGTGCATGGCTGAGCTTACACTAAGTCAAAAAAAGAAGGCATGGTTGCTCCTACCCTAAGTCAAGGAAGAAGGAGGCATGGCAGAGCTTATATTAAAAGAAAGGAGGTGGGATTTTATGACAACTGATTTTTCATCAGCATTTTCAAGAACTGAACTTTTAAGCTTGTAATACACAAGATGTACATGAATGGCAGCTGTAAATGCTTTACCTGAGTACTCAGCTATTATACCCTGAGTACTCAGCAGCTACCAGTTACTCAGCAGCTGAACTTCAATAGAAGAAAGAACCATAGATGCTGCATCCCTCCAATTCTTGATCTAACAACTGTCCAGCCTAATTGCCTAATTGCCAAGCATAAGTGTAATCCTTTCTAAACTTTAGCTCAGTAGCAATATGCTGAAAAGGTAAAATCATGGTCATATTCCTTTAATTTTCAGTCAGCCAGGAATGGCCAGGTTCCAGCACTGGTAATTCAGAGGCTAAATATTGAGTGATTATCTTTAGTTGATGATACATATGAAAATGCATATTGGAATATAAGATAACATACACCTGAACTCAAAAAGCCAATGAAACAGGATAAAAATTATTCATTGCCATCTCTTCATTGTTATATATGTTATACATAAAACTGTTATGCCCTGCTCTGATTTCTATGGCATCTTTCTTAGCAGAATTATTCCTCCATACACAAGCAATAACAGAGTACCATAAACTCAGGCAGAACTAGGATGCAGGTAAGTATCACATGCATGACAGTCCAAGTACTACAATGGATTGGGAAAGAAAAATAGCAATCTCATTAAGGTAAAATGAGGTTTTTCTGGATTTCAAAACATTGAAAATTACAATCTCAGAATTGACCAAGGGAGTCATCACGAAGCCAGTTATTCCTCGCAAGAATAAGTTGTAGGGCCTTAACAGGATGAAAGAGTTCCAGGGACTGACAAAACTAATTCAAAGGTTCTGGAGCACTTAATGACCTCATGCCTGAGCATAGCCCCCAGTCCATGGGGATGGTAATATAAAACACATAACCTGAAGGCATGTCATCCTCAAGCACAAAGGGTCTCATGAGCCAAGGACCTTTTTCTAAGATGTGCTTGTAGCTTCCCATTGCCTAGGAAGGGAAGGTACCTGCCTTCATACTATCCTTTGAGTGTGTACTGTACCAGATACCCATGTAACAGCATTTGTGTGCACTGAACTCAGGTCAGGCAAAAATGTGCTAAATTTTTAATTCATCCGTATCTGAAAAATGTGAGCAATGAGTTGAGTACAACACTGAATGTTTTGCTGGAATCGCATTGAAATCATAATTTCCAGAAACATTTGCCCTCCATGAGCTGAAACTGACATCAACCATGCGCCAAACTCTAAATGCTCCGAGCTATGGCGTACACGCGCTGGCATTCTTGCCAAGGTGTCGTTACCACACCGGACATGTTCACCGCCACATGCATTTTTGCAGCCTGGCCTTCCTATGTGTCAGACATACATGCTTCCCTGACACAGCGGAATGCCCTGGCACTGTGCGATGTGGCTAACATGCCCAGCTATCACTCACCCACCAACTTCCCTACCAAAAAAATGCAGTTTGCGCTCCTGGCTCCCAATCGAGCACCTCCTCCGCGATCTCACGAGACAAACAACGCCTAAATCGCCCAAGGCCGTGCACACGGCACTTGGACGCTTCCAAAACAACGCAGAACGAACACAATATTGGTGCCTGAAGGTCGAGAATCGTGTGCGCTCAGAAGAGATGGCACAAAGGTCAGAGAAAAACAAGCGGGATATCTATCAGAATCTCTTGATTATTATCGATATAATGATCAGATATTCCAAAATAAGTCAAACCAATTTATCGTATAGAATATCGGGCGGTCCAAGCTGTTGAAAAATAGAAAATTCGATGAACGGCTCATGTCACTTACGTAATCAAAATGTACCGTAGACATAGTTCCAGTAGAAATGCTACCGAAAATGCACCAATCAGAAGGCCACTTTCATCTACCGCTTTATTCCGGAGCCAGCATTCCTGACTGTAAACAATACAGGCCCGCCAAATACCAGCAGAAGGGGATCTGAGATTAAAGTATTCTAGTGTTGTTGGGCGCGTGGACGCCCGGATTGTGGCATTTGGAGGTTGTCTCTGGTGCCCAACATGATCTTGAAGCATCTTAAAACTATCCTGCCTGCTCAGGTATGCCCATTTGTGGAGCATTTCTGAATGGCCTCCGTTGTGGTATAACGTCTATCGTCCTGCTGGATATATAATATCGTTATGCTGGGTTGACCCCTATCTAAGGGAGCTCTATCGGCCCAGTGGTGTAAGCGTATGGTGGCACATGATACATGGTAGGGGCACGTGCCCTTAGCTCACCGAATGTATGGCATGCATTGGTATCCACGGGACCAAATGTCGACCGTTACCATATCCAGGTTAGCCGATCAAAGTAAGATGATTGAGAACATGCGACTTGAACGACGCAAAAAGTGCGTATGCTTGCGGTGCCCTAAACTCAGTTTTCATCGGTTTCTTGCTTTCGTTGCCCAGTCTCGTTGCCCGTTGTCACTTGTCTCGTTGCCTTCGTGAAATTTACGTGCAGTCCTGCTGTATCCTGTTTACATGGTTGGCACAGATTTTCGGGGGTGTGGGACTGCCGAATATGCTGGTGCCACTTCCCGCATTCCGACGTTAGGCAGGCTTGGGCAAATCATTATATTTTTCCGATGGACTTGCGTCGTATCGAAAGACAGGCATGGAAATGTCTACACTTTTGCTGGAGTTCATAATAATTTTTGAAAGGGTTTAGCCAAATGTCGCCGCTGCAGGGAAGAGATGAAGTGAGGTTGCAGGGCTCCCGCGACCTTCTGTACGGTGTGATTTACTACTCCAGACAAGTTTTTGGTCTAAAGCTTCTCGACATCATTTCGAGGCATTCACCCATCGATCTGTTTTGCCTTATAAGCTATCAGGGGTGTGGTTTTCTATTTAGTTAGGGGGGTGATCCAGCCCCCCTAACGTGTTAAGAAAAAGTGTCAAGCCACGTCTGTCATCACGCTGTTCGGCCCATGCCTCAAAAGGCGTCTTACTGTTGGTCAACAGTCAGTGTCGCCACCGCAACATCTTTCACGCCTCAACAATCTACCCATGCTTGCGGATCGGCAATATAACACACATATGAATCGACCTTTGTATCTAGGTGTCTGTCTGCGTACAGAAAAGGGGGTGTGCAAAGGCGCTTCCATGTGCAGCCTGGTTTTTGTTACGGAACGGCGGGAGATGCGGCCAGGCCCCGTAGAGAACCCTCCTCATGTGCTTTTGCTTTGGCGAAACAGGACGTTGCTTGCGAGCGTCAGAAATCTGATGGCGAAAAAGCTCTTATAGTAGAAGAATGGCATTGTAGAATGTTTCTCCGTCTCGTAAGAAACCTGGCATTCTCTTCACCTCTGTTTCCGACCCATGAATACTTAGCGCATCGAAGCAAGGAAGGGTGCCGCGTGCTTTTCGAGTAAATTTGGCCTTTTGCTTGTAGTAGAGACGTTGAATTCCCAGCTGTTCTGTTCAAGAAGATGCCGATCCGAACCAACGTAATTCTGAAACGTATTGCTCAGGACGGCGCTGCGAAGATCACGGCCATGACATGGTCGCACAACAACGTGAAGCTGGCCGTGTGTACCTCCGACCGGGTCGTCATCATGTTCGACGAAAACGGAGACAAGAAGGACAAGTTCTCGACCAAGCCGATCGACGCTAAAGTAATTCCGAACAGCGCGCAGACGTTCACACGAAGGTGTCTCGCATCCGTCCGCTCAGGGGCATGACGTCATGGGTCGAGCTGGCAGTGACGCTTGCCGGCTTAACAAGCTTAACAAGCTTAACGGCCCGGCTTAACAAGCCGGGCCGTGTGATAGGTACCGCTGTCAGAGGGCAGGGGTTTGCCTCTTCCTTCAATGGAAGTATCATGAATGCTTGCCCCACAACTGCCTGTAATGTTTGCCACGCGGCACACTGGCGGTCGTGCCCCCCCCCCCCCCCCCCCGCGCTGGTGTAAAACACCACAGCTGATGCGTATAAACGGTGCCTGACGTCACGACGTGGCCGCTGGGGTGGACGCAGGTCCAGACCGGAGGCAGCCGGCGCAGTGCGGTCGTTCGGTCGAAGGCAGGCCCCTCGCAGAGTGACATTTTGTATTGCAGTACGGGAAAAAGAGCTACGTGGTGAAAGGCCTGGCCTTCTCTCCGGACAGCACCAAATTGGCCATCGGCCAGTCTGACAACATCATCTTCGTCTACAAGATCGGCGAGGACTGGTAGGGCGCCCGACGGCACCTGCTTAGTAGCACGTTCATTGGCCCAGACCTCTCCAGGCTCCCACTTCAGATGTCCACCCTGTCAAATATCGTGTTTTTTCCCTGAAGATGAATGCGGTTCTTTGGAAATTTTGTGTAGGCCAGATCCGGGGGTAACCCAATCTCGTGGTCTGCACTTGGCGCTGTGTCAATCCAAGCTGACATGCAACTGGCAACCACTCCCTTGATCTCCACACAGCCCTTGCCGGTATAGCAAACGTAGCACATGGTATGTTGTTCACTTGAATCAACAAAACAGGCCCACACGCGCCTTTTTGTAGCCACATATCCGTAAATCCCACGAACTGTACTTGAACACGGACACGAATTACACTTTTTGCGTCACCATGTTCAGCGAGTGATCTGTAACGCTGTATTCAGTGTGAGTTAGATGCCATCCAGCTGTTCTTTGTCTTCCAAATTTAGCTATTTCTTGCCCTGCCAAAACCAAACGGCGGGGTAAATACCGGCGCTATTATGATTAGTCATGATGTTGGGTTGCTGAATAATCACTAAGGTGAATTATTCACTTAAATACCGGCATAACTGCATTTTTGAGGCGTGTCAGCTAGAATCTAATGTTGTACATAAAAAACTTGTTAACTGCTTCTAAAGGAACATATTTGATTATTGCGACATGTGCTATTAATGGCTAACATATCGTAGCGACTTATCATGCCGTCTATTAACCAGTTCTGTGTTGCATGGTTGGTTGGCTGCAGCAGCTCTGCATAACAATGCAGCACGCGTCGGTCACTGGACCGCGAGGCACCGGTGCACCGCGGTCCAGTGACCCGCAGCCGGCTCGCGTTCAGCGGCGAGCCGGCTGCGGCGCTGCTCTGGTGCACGTGTTGCTCCTCCCGGCCCGTTCGGCCGCCGCAGCGACGGGCGGTCCGGGCGGCCTGCGCGCGCCGCGTCCTCGCCGCTCGCGCCGCCGCGCCTGACCGCGCGCCGCGCCGCCGCAGGGGCGAGAAGAAGGTGATCTGCAACAAGTTCGTGCAGACGGCGGCCGTCACGTGCCTGGTGTGGCCGCTGGAGGGGCCGATCGTGTTCGGCCTGGCGGACGGCAAGGTGCGCGGCGCCAACGTCAAGTCCAACAAGTCGCAGACGCTCTACCAGACCGAGTCGTACGTCGTCTCGCTGGCGCCCAAGTGAGTGGGCTGGTGACGGGCGGCCGCCGGCCGGCCGGCGTCATGCTCGTCGCGCGCTGTGGCGACGGGGCGCACGTGCGGTTTAGGTACGGGTTTGTGGAATTCGCTTGACCTTGCTGTGGGAACGACAATCATGGTTTGCCCGCAGTGGTCTGTGAGCAACAAGTAAGGCAAGACAAGCACCAGCCTGAAATGACATATGTTGGAAGCTAGTCTCCAAGGGGAGAGCGGCTCTGACCTGCACTACTCTCTTCGCGTTAATTCCGAGCACGTCGTGTTGTGTTGTAAGTGTTGCGTTGTGTGTGTTGCCGTTGTCTGTGTTGTGAGGCCGAGTGGCTGCTGATTGTCCCCCGTTCGGCGCCGACGCTGAGTGCGCTCCTGCACCGCAGCTCCAGCGGCACGGCATTCCTCTCGGGCCACGCCGACGGCGCCGTGGTACGCTTCTACGTGTCCAAGGACGATGAGCAGCTGCCGCAGGTGAGCCGGAGCCGCGGCCGGCGGGGCGGCGCCAGCTCCGGTCCCAGGGTGCGGACGGAGCCGCGGCCGACGGGGCGGCGCCAGCTCCGGTCCCAGGGTGCGGACGGGGCCGCGGCCGGCGGGGCGGCGCCAGCTCCGGTCCCAGGGTGCGGACGGAGCCGCGGCCGACGGGGCGGCGCCAGCTCCGGTCCCAGGGTGCGGACGGGGGCCGCGGCCGGCGGGGCGGCGCCAGCTCCGGTCCCAGGGTGCGGACGGGGCCGCGGCCGGCGGGGCGGCGCCAGCTCCGGTCCCAGGGTGCGGACGGGGCCGCGGCCGGCGGGGCGGCGCCAGCTCCGGTCCCAGGGTGCGGACGGAGCCGCGGCCGGCGGGGCGGCGCCAGCTCCGGTCCTAGGGTGCGGACGGGGCCGCGGCCGACTGCCGCACTGCCGGCCGATCAGCTGAGCAACACTCCCCGCCAGAGCAGTGTCCCTGATCTCTGTTCAACCCGTTCCCCCCGCCCAATATGGCGCACGGTATGAAGGCTGGGCTATGGGCGTCTGTGGCTGATTCTGGCTGGTTCTGTACGGTCCATGCTGCCGTGGTCGCCCTCGCCGCCGGCTGCCCGCCGCCGTCCCCTCTCTCTGTCCGTCGGTTCATGGGGCTGACCGTGCGTGCAGGGTAAGATTCTGACGCACAACGTGCCGCCCTACGCGCTCTGCTGGGCCAACAACCACATCGGCATCGGCGGCTGCGACCGCAAGTTCATCTTCTACACGAAGGTAGGCTGCAGGCGCCGGTGTCGCGGCCGGAAACGCGCCGCTGCTCGCATCAGCGGCGCGTTCGTGAGATACTCGATCATACGATGGTCATACAATGACTGAGTGATGATCCAGCGGTCCCGGACATAGCCAGACAATGTGTCTATGGCCACATGTGTCTATGGCCACATGTGGCTTCGGCCACAGACGGAGCTGAGCTCCGCCCCTGGCCGGGTTGGCGCGCCGAACGACGGCGATGTTCGGGTGGCTGTTGGGAGACGACCGGTCACGTATTTCAGAAGCTACACGTCAGTGACACCGGCACGGTAACCAGCATCAACTCGGCGTCAGAGCGTCGGAGCTGTTTTCATATGGCTTAAGCGTGTTGCGTCTGTAGGCCAACACCTTGGCCGTGCTGGACTCTGATCAGGAGCAGTGACGGCACCAGACAGGACAGGAGACAGGCGTCAGGAGGGAGGCCCTGACCATACGGGGCCCCAGTCCGGCGGCTGAGCCTGCTGACCGCCCGGCTGCCCGGCAGGAGGGTCGCCTGGGGCAGCAGTTCGACTACGCCCGAGACGACACGGAGAAGGAGCTGACGACCACCGTGTGCAGCCCCAGCGGTCAGAGCGTGGTGGTCGGCAGCTTTGACCGGTGAGAGGCTCAACGGCCGGCTGGCGGTACGCTGCTGACGGCCGGCCTCCCGCTCCCAGCCAACGGTCGGCACGCCGCCGGAGAGTCTGACGTCAGCACACTGCGCGCTCCGTCGAGACGCGCGCATCAGCTGGCTGAAGTGGAGAGCGGGTGTGTCGTTGACTGCTGGTCAGAGCTCAGAATCGGTTTTGCACGAGGCGAGCCGGCTGTTGTCCAACCCGGCCGGCCGTGGGTGTCGGCGCGTCGGCCGGGCGGCGCGCCCTGACGGCAGCGGACGCTGTCGACAGGCTGCGCGTCTTCGACTGGAGCCCGCGGCGCAACCTCTGGGAGGAGTCCAAGGTGAAGGAAATCAAGAACCTGTACACGGTCACCAGCCTGACGTGGAAGCGGGACGGCTCACGCGTCGTCTGCGGCAGCCTGTGCGGCTCCGTCGAGCTCTTCGACTCGGCGCTCAAGTCAGTCACGTCGCTTGGCTATTGGGCGCCCTCCCCCCCCTCCCCCCCCCCATCCCCCCGCGCTGGCATCGGTGCTGGGGCCCCTCGCACGGACAGCTGCGTTTTATGCCAGGCTGGCCGGTTTTGACTCGCGCCGACATGCAGTGTTGGTGGTGGAGGCCCGGGTGATCCGTGTTTGTCTTGGCGTTACGCCGCGACGTGACTTTGCCGTGACGACCGAGAGGTGGCGCGGCCGGCAGTTGGCGCCATTACCGCAGAAAGGCCGGCGTTCGCCGCGCAGGGAACGCTGTGCCGCAGTGCACCAGTGCATGGCGGGTCAGTCTAACGTCGACTTGAGCGCGGATCAGGCCTGGCTGGGTGCCACCCGGCGGCTTGTGGACACTACAGCGCAAATTATGATCATTGTAAGGGGCTCCGTCTTCAGCTGCCGATTTCGAATCCGTGCGCACGGTTGAAGGTGATCCACCTCATGCCGATTGTGAAATCCGCGTTTGCAAGCTCCGCCTCCGGATCCTAGCAAGGTCCGTGCCAGGGCAATCGCAGATATAACTGGATCTACCCGATTTCAATAGGCCATGAACCTAAAGTGTAATTTTTGCTCCATCAGAACACCACACAGTTTGATTCCATTGGTGTCATGAGTTTCGTAGTTTGATTTAAAGCAGCCCAGCAATATCGCTGGTTGAACATGCTGCTATATTCAAGCGGAAGTTACCCCGGCCACTTAAGCGTAGAACGAGTCAGTACCGGGCTTTATAATCACAAACCGATTGGTAAGGTCATTCATTGGCGGCAGTCTATTCTAGCGGTTTCTGGTTTGCTCACGACCACAAGCTCGTGAGATTTGCGTCGCGCCAGGAGCGAGCGGGCAAGCTGGCGTTGTTCGAGCCGACCCCAATGGAAGGAGGTCCAAAGCAAACAACCGGCCAGCTCTGGCAGCGGGCTAAAGCATGTCCACCTGGCAGGGCTCGCTACATGATGTTTGGGTAAGGCGTCCAGAAATGACAAGGGGGCTGCGACTGCAGCGCGTCCAAATGACATCATGAGGCCGCCACTTCCGGAGGAAAAAGAAAAACAGCGCGTAGTGTTCTGTTGAGGTGGCTCGGGTGTAGATCTCACCTGCATGATAAGCCGTTCCTGGGGACAGTTCCTTTTAAAGAATGCTTTGGAGAGCAACATCCTCAAAAACCTTTCTAACGGCGTCTCATTGACGTAGCTAAGTGAGGGGGGCTTTTGAGTCATGCCCCCCTCTCCCTGAAGGGGCAGGGGACCCTGCGGACCGAAGGACTCGGTAGTTTCCGACGGTTTAAGAAACCCGTTGCGTGAAAGACGGGCCCTCTAGGCGTTGAAATGGTATGCTGAGCTTAAAAAGTTTCCAGACACGAGGCCCCAATAGCAACGAAGGGACCCCTTTGCCAGAAAGAGACCCCCTTTGCTCCGATTTGGTCTTCTCCTGGACGAAATACAGGCCAAGTCACGGCAAGGCGGTATTCTGGCACTCACGAAGTAGAATACCTGCGTACATTTTGCGAGCCGGCAACAGGCCTCAGGCCACGTACCACGGCTGCGGCTCGTCACTGACGTCGGTGTGGGTGGCTCCGTGCTTGTCACTGACCTCGGTGTGCTTGGCTCCGTGCCTGTCACTGACGTCGGTGTGGGTGGCTCCGTGCTTGTCACCGACGTCGGTGTGCTTGGCTCCGTGCTTGTCACTGACGTCGGTGTGGGTGGCTCCGTGCTTGTCACCGACGTCGGTGTGGGTGGCTCCGTGCCTGTCACCGACGTCGGTGTGCTTGGCTCCGTGCTTGTCACCGACGTCGGTGTGCTTGGCTCCGTGCTTGTCACTGACCTCGGTGTGGGTGGCTCCGTGCTTGTCACCGACGTCGGTGTGGGTGGCTCCGTGCTTGTCACCGACGTCGGTGTGCTTGGCTCCGTGCCTGTCACTGACGTCGGTGTGCTTGGCTCCGTGCTGCCGCCATCCGCGTGACGCCGAGTGATTTCTCCTTAAGAAAACAAGCACGCTCGGGGAGCAGCCAGGCGTCGTGATTTCTATCCGATACTCACCGGTGCCGGCTCGTGAGTGACCCTGTGCCGATCCGCAGGCGAGCCGTGTGGAACGACCGGTGGGAGATGACGTACGTCGGCCCGTCCCAGGTGCTCATCAAGCCGCTCAAGGGCGGCGGTCGCGGCGTCATCCTCAAGTCCCAGTACGGCTACGAGATCGAGGACGTCAAGTTCATGGGTGCGTTGGCGGGCGGGCGGCGCGCGCGTCTTCGGCGCCGGTGGCGAGTGCCCCAAGCCCGTCAGCGGCCGAGCGGCGCTGGCCGCAGCCGGGCCGCGCCGCCCGGCCGAGTCCGGCGCCCCGTGCGGCGGCGCGCCGGCGGGCTCCCTTCTGCCACGGGCTGGGGGTCGGCGGCGGTGGTCCGTGGTGTGGCGTGTCGCCGTGTCGCGCGTTGTTGTGCAGGCAGGCGTCGTTGCGGCGCCTCCGTCGGCCGTCCGGTGACTCGTCCTCCCTCGCAGGTAAGGAGCGGTACCTGGTGGCGCGCACCACCGAGACGCTGCTGGTGGGCGACCTCTCGCGCAACCTGCTCTCCGAGGTGCCCTGGATGGACACCAGCGGCAACGAGAAGTTCTTCTTCGAGAACGCCAACTGCTGCATGATCTTCAACGCCGGCGAGCTGAGCATCATCGAATACGGCAACAACGAGCTGCTGGGCTCCGTCAGGTGAGCGTTCTAGGGACTCCGTATGAGGGGAACTTGACGCAGTGACGCGCTCAGAGACGGATTAGTCACGACCAGGGACGGATTGGTCTCGGTCAGGGGCGGATTTGTAAGGACAGTGACGGATTAGTCACGGTCAAGGATGAGTTAGTCACGGTTAGAGACGGAGTTGTCTGAGTTATTGACGGATTAGTCACGGTCAGGGATGGGTTAGTCATGATCAGGGACGGATAAGTCACGGTCAGGGACGGATAAGGCATGGTCAGGGGCGGTTAAAGCACAGGCGGGGACGGATAAGTCGCGGTCAGTGATGCATAAGCCACGGTCAGGAGCGGATAAGTTACGGTCAGGAATGTGTTGGTCATGGCCAGGGATGGATTAGTCGCGGTCTGATGGATTGGTCACGGTCCGGGGCGGGTTCGTCACGGTCAGGGATGGATTGGTCGCGGTCAGGGCGGATTGGTCACGATCAGTGGTTGGTCACAGTCAGGAGTGGCTTAGTCACGGCTAGGGACAGATTGTTTACGGTCAGGGATCGATTGGTCCCGATGACGTCAAGTAGCTGTCTGGGACGTGGTCATGGCAAGGGCCGTCTGCGTCAGGGTGTTTGAATGTCCATACTTTGCATGTGAACGACCTTCCATGTCCAAGTACATTGAGGTGTCCTACGTTGTCAATTTGACGTATATTTCGCCAGCCGGTTCCCTGCTGAGCCGTGACATCCGGCACCAATAACGGGTTGCGTTAGACGGCAACCTCGGCTCTGCTTACTCATTACTGAGCTGTGGCGATAGCTGTGTGTGTGTGTGTGTGTGTGTAGGTGGATATATAGGTGTGTGTGGGTGTGTGCGCGTGCGCGTGCGCGTGCGTGGGCGTGGGCGTGTGCGTGTGCGTGTGCGTGTGCGTGTGCGTGCGCGTGTGTGTGTGCTGTGTGTGGGTGGGTGGGTGGGTGTGTGGGTGTGGGTGGGTGTGACCTTTACGTGACCTGGCCTGGGTCGGCACGTGACCGGTCCGCGACCGCCGCCAGGACCGAGTTCATGAACCCGCACTTGATCAGCGTCCGCATCAACGAGCGCAGTCAGAAGGGTGTCGAGGACAACAAGAAGATGGCCTACCTGGTGGACCTGAAGACCATCACCATCAGTGAGTGGGGTCCGGAATAGCCCGCGGGACGCGAGGCAGTCACAAGTCACAACGAGAAGGCCCCTCCCCCCCCCCCCCCACACACACACACTTTCCCCGTTACGAGGCCGCCCCTGGTCAGTCCGCCAATCAGGTTTTAGAACCCCGCCCGTACAGCCCTTTCTGCCCCGGATATCTGTAGGGAGTCCTGAACGGCACTTGCGTGCAGCAGCCGCCCGGTGGCAGAGTAGTGGAGAGTTGCGGATATCCACTCGCTCGCCCCGTGCCGTGTCGGCTCTGCCCACCTCTGTACGCGTTCTGTGAGGCGGAGCGCGCCGGCGCGCGCCTGAGCCGTCACCGTCCGCAGTCGACCTGGTGTACGGCGTCAACCTGGGCGTGGTGTCACACGACACCAAGATCGACTGGCTGGAGCTGAACGAGACCGGCCACAAGCTGCTCTTCCGCGACAAGCGGCAGCGGCTGCAGCTGGTCGACATCGAGACCAAGACCAACACGGTCATCCTCAACTACTGCACGTTCGTTCAGGTGAGTGTGCCGTCCCAGGCACGCGGCGGTATGTGACGCAGGCGCGGTGAGCCCACGCCACGGAGGCGTGATGTGATGCGGCGGGCGCACGCATGTGTCCTGGCGCGACTGCGGCTTGTCCGAGGTGCGGCACCACTTATTCGGAATGTGACGCATTCGCGGGGGGGGGGGGGCGGGGGGCCGGACCATGCGTGTGGCGTCGAGGATCAGCCGGCGAGAGTGTCAGCGGAGTGGTGCGCTGCCGGCGCGTGACGCTGACTGGGTGATGTTGGCCGTTGTCATGATGAAGGCGCCCGTGGCTGCTCACCCCAGGCCGCGCTGACCCGTCCACCGCTGTCCGCAGTGGGTGCCCGGCAGCGACGTGGTGGTGGCGCAGAGCCAGTCCAACCTCTGCATCTGGTACAACATCGACGCCCCGGAGAGGGTCACCATGTTCCCCATCAAGGGCGACATCATCGACATCGACCGCAGCGACAACAAGACCGAGGCAAGTGGCCGGCCGGCCCGCGCCGGGCACCGCGGCACCCGTTCCGAACCCAGGTCTAGAGCTGAGGCCGGGAGGATCGCGGGGGCCGGGCTGCTGCGGTCTTCCCGCTCGGACAATTCCCTCGAGCGGCAGCTCGTACCGCGCTCTGGTCGGAGCGGGCGGGGACCTGTACGCAGATATCCCGGCGTCGTCCAGCGCCGCCCGTCCCGTGACGCCGTCGCGCGCGCCGCCCCGCAGGTGATCGTGCAGGACAGCCGCCAGGAGTACTCGTACACGCTGGACGAGGGCCTGATCGAGTTCGGGACGGCCATCGACGACGGCGACCTGCTGCGCGCCATGAACTTCCTCGAGTCGCTGGAGCTGACGCCCGAGGCCGAGGCCATGTGGCGCACCCTCGGCCGGCTGGCCGTCGAGAGCGAGCAGCTGCACATAGGTCGGTCCCGCCGCACGGTCCGCGGCGCCGCACGGTCCCCGGCGCCCACCAGTCGGCCTGCGGTCGCCGTGTTGTCGGGCGCGCCGCCCTGATAGCACGGCCTCGGCACGGCGATGGTTCAGGCGTTGGGATGCCGTGAGTTGGTCGCGAAGCGCAGCCATGCGTGCTCGCTGTGTTTATTTGGCAAGCACCACTTGTTCTACGGAGTTTTGTTGGCTGTTGTGTACCGTGGTTGTTGTAACCTTCCGGGGCTGCCACTGGAGAGGCCTGCCCCAGCAATACGCCAGCCCAGCGCCGCTCTTTCCTCGAAAGACGGCTCACTGAACGCTGGCGCGTGTTGCCGCGGCTTCTTTCCATGCCCTACCTGATGTAGTCGGAAGGCTCAACATCATTGGTGTTCGTCCGCCACCGAGCTGTCTGGTGTGTCGCTCCGCGGTGCGCCGGTGCTGCCACCTGTAGACCGCGCGCCGGTGCCGGCTGCGAACCGGCCGCCTCCTCTGCCGCCTGTCGAGCTCCACTAACACGGCCGCCGGCGCCGCCAGCCGAGCGGTGTTTCGCCGCGCTCGGGGACGTCTCCAAGGCCAAGTACCTGCGGGAGATCATCATGCTGGCCGAGCAGGTGGCGCAGAAGCTCGGTGAGGGCCGGGCGGCGGGGCGCCCGTCTCGGGCATTGGACCGGCCGCCCAGTGCGCCTCGCCCGACAGACTCAGGGTCGCCCCAGCGTACCGCCGCTGCATGAGCTCTGTGGCGAGCATTTCGTGTGCGGTGTTAGATCAAGTAGCCAAATTACGGCCTGTCGAATCTCATAGCCGAGCTGCCGCGATTCTCATGCGTGATGATGACGACAGTTCCTAGCGTAGTTCATGAACGGACCGGTGCGATTACTGTCACCCTATGCTAGACGCCGCAGTGGGATGTATGTGGTAACCTCCCTTGGACACCGTGTCGTGGAGACCGCCAGTCTCGTTGTTGGCTTTCTCCCGTTTGTAGAAGAACCTTCCCCGCTACAGTGAATAGCCGCACCCCAAGATGGATCGTTTGAGTCAGGTGATGCAGCAGGCACTGCCCTGTCTGCTTCGTTATTTCTATGGCGTTGGGATGATTGCCGTCATTTCCTTCTGTCATGTATGTTGGCCGGCCACGCTACTTTGACGTTGAGGTGGTCATGCTTTGATCATTTCTCCTTGTGCAGGTCATGGTGACGGAATGGACTTTTACGAGGTGAAGGCGCGCATGGCCGTCTTCAACCGACAGTTCAAGGACGCCGAGGCCATCTACCTGGACAACAACCAGGTGGACAGCGTCATCCGCATGTACCAGAACATGAACAAGTGGGAGGAAGGTGCGTGGACGGGTGGTCAGTGGCCTGTGTGCGCGCAGGTGTAAGCGGTCTTCTCAAGTCTGATGGAACGAGGTCAATGACCAAACACGATGTCTAACGACGGGCTTTGGTTGGTAGACCAGTAGGCGCCTTGGCATCCAAGCCCTGTCACATGACCTGACCTGGTGGGGGGCGCCTCAGCCGCGCTGGCGGCCGGCGGCGCGTCGGTGTGCAGCGCCGCCCGTCGCGGACGCCACTCCTCTGACGGCGCGCCGTCCCGCAGCGCTGAACGTAGCCGAGACGCGGCGGCACCCGGACCTGCCGCAGCTGCGCGCCAACTACCACCAGTGGCTGATGACCACCCGGCAGGAGGAGAAGGCCGGCGAACTCAAGGAGCAGGAAGGCGACTACCTGCACGCCGTGCAGCTGTACCTGCGCAGCGGCCTGCCGGCCAAGGCCGCCAGGTGGGGCACCGTCAGGGGTCGCTGCTCTCACGCTCACTGCACTGTCCGGCGCCCGCCGGAGTGGCGTTTCAGGTCAGATCTGCCAGGGGATGGGGTCGGCGCGGGTCAGACGGGCGGGTGGGGTGTGACGCACTCCGACCGTCGCCCGCCGGCGCATCCGCTCCCACGGACGGGAGAGCAGCGCGTGGTCTGTCCGCGGACGCCCCGCTGGCGGCACGCGGAGGGGGCCGGCCTGCGGCGGTGCGGTCGGCTCTGTCCGCCCCGCCGCGCCTGCTGCGGCGGCTCCATCTGCTGCCGGCCGCTGAGCGCGCCCGCTCCGGCCCCCAGGGTGACGCTCAACACGCCCGACCTGGCCAACAACGTGGGCCTCATCAACGGCATCGCGCAGGCGCTCATCACGGCCGAGCTGTTCGAGAAGGCCGGCGAGATGTACGAGCGCGTCAACGAGCTGGAGCCGGCGCTCGACTGCTACCGCAAAGGCAACGCCTACTCGCGCTGCGTGGCGCTTGCCCGCTCCAACTTCCCCGCAGGTGGGTCTCCGGCCGCGGCCCGAGTCGCCGCCGGCCCCGCACGCCGCCGGCCCCGGCCTAGTGAGTTGTCGGGGTGGTCCGCGCGTCTAGGGCGGACGCGGCCGCGGGCGGGTGCCAGCGCCCGGGACTGGCCGGTGTACGTCTGTCGGCAGTGGTGGTGCAGCTGGAGGAGGAGTGGGGCGACCACCTGGTCTCCAAGCGCGAGCTGGACGCCGCCATCAACCACTACATCGAGGCGGGCAAGACCATCAAGGCGCTGGACGCGGCTGTGCATGCGCGCCAGTGGAAGAAGGCCATGCAGATAGTACAGGTGGGCGGGGCGCGAGGGGGACACGAGCCAGGCAGGCCTCAGTCTTTTGCAGTTTTCGGGGATAGTATCACTGCTTTTACATTGATAGTCTATGTTGGTGTTGGGGTTTTCTCGTGCATAATGGTGAAGTTTGTTTCTGTGTTTGTGTTCACCTCGTTTTCCTTTTCCACGATCCTTCTCCTGCGCTCCTGAAGGGGTACATGTCCGAAAATCCTGGAGCTGTGCAGAAAAAGAAGAAGAAGAAGAAGAAACAGGTTCGAATCGTCCGCACCTCGTAAATATTGCTTGCTCATGGGCGGCTGCGCTCCACGAGTACATCCTTAAGTCGATAACTGTGACGTCATCCTCGCACGAACATCCTGAAACGTAGGCGGCGGATCCGTTGCACACGTCCCATCCTCAGCGAGCTCTGAGCCAGGGTCACGGCGAGACGTCATCCCATTGTTTCTGATTGACGCAACCACCCGACGCGTCCCGCTGGCTGCCAGCCGGCCCTTCACGTCCTGCCGACGTGAGGTCTGCTGTCAGCCTGCGCACCAGCGTTCGGTGCTCCGCTCTCGGCGGTCCCCGGCAGTCGGGCCGACTCAGCACTGACCGCACACGGCCTCGGCCGCAGGCGGCCGGCGGCGACCAGGATATCTCGCCCTACCTGCTCAAGCTGGGCGGCCACTTCGCCCAGATCGGCGACCACGCCACCGCCGAGAAGCTCTTCATGGACGGCGGCATGTTCAAGGAGGCCATCGAGATGTACAACAACGCAGGTGGGCGAGCCGGCGGCGGCGCTGCCGGCCGGCCTGACGACGCCGGCCGGCCGGAGCGCCGCTCTGACGGCGGATGCATTGTCATCACCGCACGGGTCCCAGCAACTTTGTCTGTTCTCAACAACCAGCTGAGCGTGGCGCCCGTGGGTGACGGAGGCCCCGTCGACCATCCTTGGCAATACCTCTCCAAATCATCGCGATGGGTGTATTTCTAGTCACAGAAGTGCGTGGACGCAGTCCCAGAAGTGCTGAGTCGCAGAAATGCTAATCAATGCAAAACAATGCAGCCCGTGAGAAGCGCGCATCAGCTGGCCTGTCCAATTGACAGTGTGGACAGCGGATGATGTCTACGGTCCACGCTGCACATCTGTGAAGCGTGCATCATCTGGCTAGTCCAGTGAGCAGTGTGGGCGGCGGATAATGTCCATGGTCCACACTGCAGTGATCGGGTTTGCGCGCCCCGCGAGCAAACAGCTTGAACCATGGCTGCGTAGACCGCGAAGGGTGCGCGCGCGGTACGAGGCCGCCGCTGCCGCCGCCGTCCGCAGCAGGCGTCACCGACCGTTGAGCCGGCCCGCTGCGCGCCCCAGCAGCGCCTGACGGCCGCGGCCCCTGTGCGCCTTATCCCGGCAGGCAAGTGGGACAAGGCGTACTCGATCGCGCGCCAGTACATGCAGCCGGAGGAGGTGAGCCACATGTACATCCAGCAGGCGGCCCAGCTGGAGGAGCAGGGCAAGTTCCGCGACGCCGAGAAGCTCTACATCACTGTGCAGGAGCCCGACCTGGCCATCACCATGTACAAGAAGCAGCGACAGTACGATCACGTGAGTGCGGCGCGGGTCCCGTCGGTGCGAGGACGTCCCGCCAGAGCGCGTCGTTGGTGAGCCGCGTGAGAGGTGTTGCGGGTCACAACACATCTACACATCTACAGTCACATCTACAGTATCTTGTGAGCCACAGCACATGTACAGCCATAGCTTGTGACCAATGTGACGCGTGCGGTGTCGATGTGCAGTGTTACTTTACGCCACGCGCGAGGTCTTCATGACGCCTCGCCCAGTCTTCGCACCGTGTCTCGCGCCGTTGCGTTCGCCGGGGTCGGGTGTTGCCTTGACCGAGCGCCGGTGGGCGGCCGGGACAGGCTGCGTGTCGGACGGCGGTCGTGCCCGCAGATGATGCGGCTGGTGACGGAGCACCATCCGGAGCTGGTCAACCAGACGCACGTGCACCTGGGCGGCGAGCTGGAGAACGAGAACAACTACAAGGAGGCCGAGAAGCACTACGTGGCCGGCGGCGACTGGAAGGCGGCGGTCAACATGTGGCGGGGTCTGGAGAGCTGGGAGGATGCCTTCAGGGTGAGTGGGGCGCGGCCGGCCGGTGGCAGCCGGCCGCGGAGGGCGCCCGGTCGCGCTCTGTGGCACTACTATCGTCTCGCAGCGACTTCTCGGCTTCTGCGTGCCGTTGCCGGCCGTCGACGGTGGTGATTATGCTGTGTCGGCGACTCTCATGCTACATTCATGTGCGTCTTCTAAGCATCCTCCCCCCCCCCCCCCTCCCCCCCCCCCCCCCGCCAGCAGTATGCCCTCTCCAGACCCGGAATCCAAGCGAGCCTCCCACAGTCGGCCCGTGTCCGTTGGCGGCCGCCGGAGCTCGCGGCGCGCGGCCTGCCGCCCCGTCGGCCGCCCTGACCGGCCGCCGCCGCGCCGCCAGGTGGCCAAAAACTCGGGCGGCAACAACGCGGCCAAGCAGGTGTCGTACCTGTGGGCGCGCACCATGGGCGGCGAGTCGGCCGTCAAGCTGCTGCGCAAGCTCGGCTACCTGGACCAGTGCATCGAGTACGCCTGCGAGAGCCTCCAGGTGGGGGACGGCGCCTCCGCCGCGGCGGCCGGGGACGGGCCCGCGCCGCAGCCCCCTAGCTGGACTGGGATGTGCGTGTCATGGGAGGAGCTGATGCACAGTGCTGCTGAGGGGCAGACGTCCGAGCGGGGCCGCGTCGGGGACAGTTGTCCTGTTAGCCGGAGTACGGGCTGGCGCCGGCCGGACTTGGGTGGTGCCGGCCGGACTTGGGTGGTGCCGGGCGAACGTGGGTGGTGCCGGCCGGACGTGGGTGGCGCCGGCCGGACTTGGGTGGTGCCGGGCGGACATGGGTGGTGCCTGGCGGACGTGGGTGGCGCCGGCCGGACTTGGGTGGTGCCGGGCGGACGTGGATGGTGTCGGCCGGACGTGGATGGTGCCGGCCGGACGTGGGTGGCGCCGGCCGGACTTGGGTGGTGCCGGGCAGACTCGAGTGACGCCGGTCGGGCGTGGGCGGCTTCGTCCCGTCCTCCTCCCGCCGCCCCGACGGCCGCCCCTGACGCTGACCGATCGGCTTCAGTTCGACTTCGCGTTCGAGCTGGCTAAGGGGAGCCAGGCGAGTAAGACCCAGGAGATCCATTACAAGCAAGCCATGGCGCTGGAGGACGACGGCAAGTTCCCCGACGCCGAGGAGGCCTTCATCCGGGCCGGCAAGCCGCGTGAGGCTGTGCTCATGTGAGTCCCAGCCTTCAGTTCCAGCTCACCCCTGTTGTGAACACCGGACCCGGCCGGCCGTGGGTCACTGCCGTGTTGCGGCCTCTCGAGTGTAGATCAGCTGGGTCTGGCGGACCGGTTGGTGGCCCGAGAATGCTCTGTGTGAGAGGTTGGACTGAGAGGTGATCGTAAATTGCTTGGCCGTTGGACTTGGACACTTAGGGCCCAATGGGCAAATGTATGGAGATGGGAGGATGTTCTCTGTGCTCCTACCCCTTTGTTCCGCTCATGACATTCGTCATTACATGTTCTAAAGCGCGCCGGAAGGTTTTTGCCAACTCACACGCGACTCTATGACAAACAGTAAATAATCTCATTCCTCAAGTGTGTTCGCACCAGCCCTGCGAATGCCAGTGAGCGTCACAGTCCGCGTGCGTTTCCGTGGACGCGAGGTGCGCATTTTCGACGGGCCGCGGACGGAACCGGAGCGTCGCAGTCGGGGCGGATCACGCACCACGTAGACACGGCGCGGCTCGGCCGGGACTGCCGGGCGCGTGACAGCGAGCCGCCTCGGGTGCGGAGGGGCGTCGGCTGCCACTGTCCGGGGACGGCGCCGGCTGAGCCCGGCGCCCGCTGACCGCCCTCCGCCGGCCGCCAGGTACGTGCACAACCAGCAGTGGCCGGCGGCGCAGCGCGTGGCGGAAAACTACGACCCGGACTCGGTGCCCGACATCCTGGTGGGCCAGGCGCGCCAGGCGTTCCAGGAGCAGAACTACAGCAAGTTCGAGTCGCTGCTGCTGCGCGCCGGCCGCTCGGAGATGGCCATCGGCCTTTACAAGGTGAGCGCCGTCTGGCGGGCCCGCGCGCCGCACGAGCCGCCGGCCGCCGGTGCCGGCCCCTGGTGTGTTTAGTCTCGCGGCGCCTCCGCGCACGGCTGCCCGGCGGCGGTGTGCCTGCCGCCGCCGTCTGCGGGTGATGTCCGTTGTGAGCGCCGCGCGGCGACGGCGCTGACTGGGCGGCGGGCGTGACCGACTGTGATGTCAGCGCCTGTCGGATGTCCTGGCCGCGAATGAGCTCTGCGCGCGTCGTGCGTCGCTCTCGATAAACAACGCGCGTGGTATTGTCGGACGCCCGTGTCGTGCGTGGTCGGCGATGTGACGGCCTTCGGCTCCCGTCCGGTGTCGGGGCGGAGGGAGAGGTCCGAGAGCCGGCACCAGCCCACTGACGCGCCGCCGCCGGCCGCCGCCAGGAGGCCAACATGTGGCAGGAGGCGCTGCGGGTGTGCCGCGAGTACGCGCCGCACAAGCTGGACGAGCTGCAGGAGGAGTACGACAAGAACGTGATGAAGCAGACCGGCACCAGCACGGCCAGCGGCGACGTCAAGCTGCTGCTGGAGCAGGCCGCCAAGTGGGAGCAGACGGACGATGTCGCCAAGGCTATCGACTGCTACATGAAGGTAGGCGCCCGGCCGTGCGACGCCACTCATGTTCACACACCCTCGACGCAGCACTTCCTCCTGGAACACGAAATATGCCACGGATAGCCGACAACGAGCCATTAATTCTGTCCGGCGTCCCGTGCCATGAACAGCCATGGGGATGGGGCAGGGTGGGGAAACGCGGTAGGTGTGCGGGGAAGAGAGTAAAAAGTATTACCAATCGATTTGTAGTATGTAACGCCAAAGGGATAACGCAAAATTGTTGCCACAGAGGGGAAAATGCTAGGCTTTGTTGACGGTGGTGGGGGCGGGGGGGCTTGCCCCTGACCTTGCCTCCGGTGCCCACGAAAAACGAGCAGAATGGGCCTGTTTGCGCGCGCACACCAACACGGTCCTCCGGTACTCTGACCAGGGATGAGCCAGGGGGCGAAGCCCGCGCTGCGTCGTGCCGCGGGGTCCACCGTCCGAGCACGGTTTTGACAGGATGGCCCACTGGTTAAACCCATGGATAGCTGGGCTCAGGTGCGACGCTCCGGCGCTACGCAAGCCATGCCGCCGCGGCAGGCTCGGCACTGACTTCGGCGTCAGCGGTCTCCCTGACTGCCAGACAGTGTCCACCTGGCTGCTCCAGTGCTCCGCACCAGGGGCGTGCCGGACACGGCTTCTGAAAATTGGTTTCATCGCGAGATCTGTTGACGCTAAGGTCGGAGTCCCTGTCAGCACGGCGTGTTACAGGGACACCTCCGCCACGAGAGGTGCCGAAATCTTAGTATCATATTGTTCCAGCCTGTTAACCGAATAGTGCTGCTTATGTCGCACGCACCAGCGGCGTCCTCACGCAGCCGGCCGTGTTAGATGGTTTTCTCTCCTCTTGCTGAGGAAGCTGGACGCCTGAAGAGCTGACCGGGCGGCTGAGTCAGGACCCGGGTCCCGAACCCACTGCGGCGGCTGCTCGCTGTGAGACTCAGCCGTGCTCTAGCCACTTCGCCACCGGGATGACGCGTTAGCAGATGACGCTCGTCTTCCTCTCAAAACCCGGTCATGACCTGCATCAGCAGCACACGCGCACGACACATGCTGATTGCATAACAGTTCGCACCGCCCTCATCACGCTTTGCCTCTTAAGCAGCGTGCTGCAGCGGGCCCACAGCTCGGTGCTAGCTCGCGGCCGCCTGCATCGTGGGGATGCCCGAACGCCTTCGTCGTCGCCGTAGGTCGGGAGGGGGGGGGGGGGCGCTGACCTACAGTCAGTGATGGCTGTCTGAGCTGGCGACGGACGGCTGGAGAGGGTGCCGACGGCCCTGCGGACGGGGCCGCGCGTGTGCCGGCCGGTCGGCGGTGCGGCTGCGCGTGTGCCGGCCTCGGCCGGCGGCGAGGCCCGCTCTCCGCCCGGGGCAACTGGCCCGGCGGCGCCGTCTGACGCCCCCAGGGCTAACGGCGCTCCCCCGGGCCGGCAGATCAACCCGTCCATGACGCAGGACCGCGCCATCGTGGAGAGGGCCTGGACCAGCGCCGCCGAGCTGGCCATCAAGTTTCTCGGCGCCGTCAAAGGGCCGAAGCTGGCCGCCGAGCTTGGTAGGCGCGCCGCCGCCGCCGCCGCCGCCGCTGCCGCCGCCACATCAGGCGACTTATGTCTGACGCATGCTTGGTTTCTTGCTGCCAACCGTAGACGGAGGATAGATACGAGATGGACGCGAAAGATAGAAGAGAATGGCGAAAATTGTAGGGACTATGTGCTCCATATAGCCTTTTGGGAGGTGATATGAGCATTGAGGTTTCCTTCCATCGCTGATTTGCTTGATCAGTTCCTTAAAAATCCTAGTTATAAGTCATAATGGGAAGAGTAGACCAGTGAAACGCAGTTAATGAAAGCACTTGCAGTAAATGTACATCATACTCATAACAACCGTAAGCCCTGCTAGAATCCATGCCCTGTGTCAGGCAGAACTAATAGTAAGTTAGCGGTTATAAGCCAAATGGCATGAGCTGTGCCCCGGAGCCGTCACAGGAGTGGGCAGCGCGGCCAGTCAGCGCGGCCGGGCAGCGCGGCCGGGCAGCGCGGCCCTGCCGGAGCGCTGTCCGGTGTTGGCAGCCGTGGCGCCGGCCCGGTCCTGACGCGGCTCTGCTGGCCGCCGCAGGCAAACGTCTGCTGGAGATCGGCGCTAACAACGCGGCCGCCCAGGTGTTCCTCGGCTCGGACAACATCAAGGAGGCGATCAAGGCGCTGGTGCTGGCCTCCGAGTGGGACAAGGCCAAGAAAATCGCGCAGGAGATGGACCCCAGGTCAACCGTCTGGGGGTCACGCAGCGACCAGCCGTCCCCAATGCGACCCCCGAGGAGGGGAGGGGGTATCCGCCAGCCTGTGTGTGTCGAGGCTGCGTGCTGGCCAGCTGCTCAGAGACCGCCGCCCGCCTACAAAACGCAGTCTTTGAGCGTGGCGTCATGAGCGGTGACAACACAAAAATGACGATGTGTATGTCGCTAGGCAGCATTGCTTTTTTAGAATCAGGAACGTGCTAATGCCTGACTAGTTTAGTAACGGCATACGCTTTGCATCTTGAGCTGTCTGCGCCATGGATAAGCATGTTATGCGTGACGCCATTGATTGAGCGAGTGGCATTTGGGGCAAAAAGGACGGAGTGCGACTAACTTGGAAACAAATGGAACACAAACTGGGCAACTATTTCCTGCGTACGCTTTTATCACATTTTGTCCTTCCTTCTGTACGCGCCAGTTTAAGGGAGTTGCATTGCTAAAAGTTGTTCAGTGTTACTTTTCTAGAACAGGCACACCATGCTGTTTAAAGGAACCATTGTTCGCTCCTTCTACGCTCGAGGCGTCGTCCTCCTACCCCCCCCCCCCCCCCAAACCTCCGATTCTGCATCGGCGTCAGGGGTCACCACTCTGAAGGCTGGGTGGAGGACAGGTTAGATTCCCGGCTGGCCCCCTCCCCCCGTGGCGACACCCGCGACGCGGCGGCGCCTGCCCGCTCGTCTCACGGCGTCCCGTCCCCGCCGGCAGCCTCCTGAAGGCCGTGGAGGAGAAGTACAAGGAGTTCCTCAAGAACGAGGGCCAGGCGGACGCCCTGGCCAGCGTGGACGTCATCCAGGGTCTGGACATGTTCGTCCAGAAGGGTGCGTACGTCCGCCGGCTGCCGTCGCTGATGTCGCGCGGACATGGATGTGGCCCGGACACGTTTGTCCAGGAGGGGGCTTTCGAAGTCACCCCCGAAAGCTCTATGACGTGGTGTCGATGATCGGCGCCGTTGGTGGCTGCTGGATACGTGACAGTGGGTGGACAGCAGTGGGTGCTCGTCCAAAACAGGGACACCATCGCTGGCTCAGCTGGAGCTCACGCACTGGAGGTTTCACGTGTTAGCGTTAGTACGAAAATCAGCGTGCCCGGTGTCATGGCGTTATCCATGAAGTGATGGCTTCAAACAAGTAAAATGAGCGTTCTTTAACGTGCGTAACAGTTACCAGATGCGGGGATACTCCCTCATTGACGTGACCTCACGGGCGCACGGGTTGCAGTGCCGTTGCGGAAATCGTCCGTGTCGTGATGCCTCTGTCAGTTCGTCCCCGCACCTGCAGTTTTTCCATCACTGTTAACAGTGTCTGGAAAACGACCACGCGTCGACTGCACTGTGGCGTTGTTCGCATCGCCGCTTTGCTGCGGACCTTCTGTGTGAGTGCGGCGGCGAGGGTCCTATTGTCGTCGGTCGGGTGGCGGCGCGGCGTCACCGGCCGGCGGCGGCGTGGGCGGCGCGCTGACGCCGGCCTCCCCTGCTGCCGTCAGGTCAGTGGCAGAAGTGTATCGAGATGGCCAAGGAGCACGGATCGCAGGTGCTGCACAAGTACCTGGCCCTGTACGCCGCGCACCTGATCAAGGTGAGGAGCCGGCCGAGGGGTACGGCGGCTCCCCGACGACTGCCCCCTCCCCCCCCCCCCCCCTGGTGCTGCCGCCCTACGCTGCGACCGCTGGGCCAACGACAACCCCGTGGCAGCTGTTGCTGCTACTGTTGCTGTCAGGGTCTCATCCGCTGGTATCATTGGGTTCTTGGCTCATTCTCTCGCCTCTCTCTTGGCTGCTGCAGACCGACGTCATGTGCGTGTTGGCTTGCGGCATGATTTTAAAATCAGGCTCGGGCGGCATAACGACATAAAGATAACTGCCCTACTTAGAATACCACCCCCAACGGTTCGTTAAGTGACTGGACTCAGAGCTGCCTATGTTCTAACGCGGCTGGGTGTATACGTTGTGCGTTTGAGGCGTATGCCCTGAATTCACCTTCCGAGCGGTGCCGTTTCAGCCGATCGAACAAGATGTTCTCTCCGGCTTTCTCTATCAAACAGGCCTGCGGATGGATCCCGTTTGTGCTACACAATACCACAGCATGACGGGCCTTTGCCAGGTCGCCCTGTTTTGCTCAGTTGTCAGCTGACTTACAGCCAGCAGGGCCTGACTGCACGCTGTGGGACTCGTGCTCAGCGGCACTGGGCCACGGTCGCATGGTCTGTCCTCCACGCCGAGCGAGTACCGAAATATCAGGGTAGGTTCCGAACGTTCCGCCCATCGCTGCCCACACCCTATCAGTGGTGCAGGGTGTGGCCGTGCGTGGCCGGGGAGTCAGGGGTGCCGGGGTCTTCGGAGCGCGTGAGGCCGCTCGTCGTCTTCACCTGCGCTCACCTCGTGACCGCAGGAGAACTCGCCGGTCGAGGCTCTCAAGCTGTACGTCAAGAACGGCGCGCCGGCCCAGCCGCAGAACTACAACATCTACAAGTACATCACGGTCAGCATGTTCGGCCAGCACGCGCTGGCCACGGCCGAGAGCTACAAGGTGTGGTCGGAGCTCCGCGAGTTTCTGTTTGACCTGGTGAGTGGCGCCGTGCCGTGGCCGCAGTGGGCGCCGGCGTTAGTGCTCGGTCGTCCGCGGCTCGGCGAGCGATGGGTTTGGACGGCCTACTCGTGGCTCAGTTTGTCGTGTGCCTTCGCGTGATTGCGAACGCCGATCAGCAGCGGCTGAAGGCCCAGTGAACACCGTTGGATTGTGGATGACCCCCCCCCCCCGCGGTTCGTGAATCTTGGATAATATGTGTGGCTGCGTGGCGCTGGTGGAGCCAGCTTTCAGCGGAGGCTGCCGCGGATTGGTCTGGGCTCTGGGCTCGTGCGCTGTCACGTTAGAACTCGGCTGCTTCTGCCCGGGCAATTATGGGCAGCTAGTAAGGCAGCGCGCATCTGAGCTGACACACGTATACATGATGTATCTCGGTGGCACGCGAACCTCGCTTCGTCGAAGGCCGCGTTGGGTGCCACAGCCGTGTCATGGTGACAGGTCGGGAGGTGCTGTACTGTTCCTGGACTCACTACGGCCGCCTGCAGTCCACGTGCGCCGTGACTCCCCCGCGGCCGTGCGCCCAGTGTGCACGGTCGTGCTGAGCGAGACAGGCGACGCTGACGCCGGCGCCGCCTGCGCCGCAGGTGGGCAACATGAACCACTCGGCCGAGGCCGGCTCAGCGGTACACGAGGCGTTCCAGACCATGCTGTTCGTGGCCCACCTGCTGGCCACCCGGTCGGCCGCCTACGGCGCCGACCAGCTGACCATGATCGCCAGCAAGATCTCGGTGGCGCTACTGCGCTACACCGAGCTGGTGCCCGCCGACAAGGCCTTCTTCGAGGCCGGCGTCGACGCTAAGGTGGGAGCAGCGGCGGCGGCAGCAGCGGTTCGAACCGGCGCCTGTGCCGGCGGTGTCGGTACCGCGGCGGCCGGGCCGGCGGCGGCGGCGGCCCGGACCGGCGCCTGTGCCGGTGGTGCCGGTACTGCAGCGGCCCGGACCGGCGCCTGTGCCGGCGGTGTCGGTACTGCAGCGGCCCGGACCGGCGCCGCCGCCGGCGGTGTCGGTACTGCAGCGGCCCGGACCGGCGCCTGTGCCGGCGGTGTCGGTACTGCAGCGGCCCGGACCGGCGCCTGTGCCGGCGGTGTCGGTACTGCAGCGGCCCGGACCGGCGCCTGTGCCGGCGGTGTCGGTACTGCAGCGGCCCGGACCGGCGCCTGTGCCGGCGGTGTCGGTACCGCGGCGGCCGGACCGGCGGCGGTGGCCGACATAGCCCGGTGCCGGGCCGGGGTGGTGGCTCGTACGCAGGGCCTTGTGTGGCGTAGTACGCTCAGAGGTGCATATTCTCGTGGGTGACACATGCCTTGGCGAAGGCGGAGGTGCAGCGAATTCGGCTGGTGGTCATGTCGTGGTCCGCGGTCCCCTTCTGTGTGTATATTGTTAACATGTGAAACTCGTCAGTGACTCCCAAATTATGTTTGGTAATGGTGCCGGTGGGCAGCGTGCCATGGTACATACTTGTGTGGGCAGATGTCACGATGCCAGACATATTCCAATATCCGTTGGCATGATCACTATGGAGGACCTCGCCTGCAGGTCTATTCTGCTGTAACACGCCAGGTTGGAAACTCACCCGTCTGCGATATACCGTGGTGTTCGCTGCACCCATCAAATGGCTCCTGAACTGCGTCTTGCCGTAACTGAGCAAAAGCCTTTCGATTCTTAAGTGTCGTCAGTCGCCGTCGCTGCGCCAGACCCGTCTGTGCTGCGCCAAGTCTGTCTGAGCCCGGCCGCTCGGTCGCGACCAATCTGAGTCCACGTGTGTGTCCGGTGGTGCACAGAAGGTGGGCTGGGAGAACATGGCGTTCGTCTGCTGGAACCACTTCCTGGACCTGTGCGAGGCCATCGAGGAGGGCTCGCTCGACACCATCGACCACAGCGACTTCGCCAACACGGACGTGCCGTTCGAGATCCCGCTGCCGCCCAAGGCCAACGTCGAGCAGAGCGACACCGAGAGCGCCAAGGAGTGGGTGCTGGCCGTCAGCATGGACCAGTCGGTGGAGCAGGTGAGGAGCGGCCCGGCCGGCGGCCGGCGGCGGCGGGCGCCACCTCGCGCGGCGCCCGGTGCCCGGCCGGGTCCACCACCGGCGAGCGCGGGCCGTCCCATGACGCCGCCGTTGGCAAAGCTGACTGCAGTGTGCCGTGAGTCGGAGCTGGGGCGGGCGGTTGGGCAGCGCCGACTGTGTGACCCAGCTTCGCGGTCTAGCGGTCGCACCGGGCCGTAAGCCCGCTCTGCTTGCGAACCTGAAGCCGCTGTGTGGTGTCCCGCGCGTGCCGCTGCGGCGGCCGAGCTGTACTGACCGCCGGCCCGGCGCTCGTGTGGCCCGCAGGAGCTGCCACAGGACGAGCGCGGCTGCTACGCCGCCAGCCTCCTCAACCCGGACGGTAGCAAGTCGCCGCCGTGCGTCGTCACCGGCTACCCGGTGCTCAAGAACAAGATGGAGTTCCAGTACGGCAAGGTGAGGGGTGCTAGCCGTCGAGTCGGGACCAGTGTCGGGGCCGCCTGCCGCTCCGGCCTCGCTCGAGCTCTCGCTGACGACGGCGGGTGACAGCGGGCGCTCACGTCTCCCGTCGCCAGCTCGCTGTCTTGTCCACCGGCTGGCATCCGTTCTGGCGTCGAAGCCGCCGTCCATGCCAGTTCGAACTGTGCGGCGGGTGCCGCGGAGCACGGTCGGCCCAGTCCTCACTGGCCAGCCGCTCGTGCAGCTCAGTTACTGGAGCGTCGGGGCACTCTGACCCGGCGCTGACCCATGGCGGCAGGTCAGTACCGCATTCCGGAACCGCAGACCGCATTCCGGAACCGTGTATGACTCGCATGTGGCGCACGTGTGACTCGTCTTTGACGGTCAGTCGGTAACTGATCCTGACGGACAAGCTGAGGCGGGGGAGGTCGAGCCATACTCGCAGCGTTTTGTGACACGTGCGGTGATTTATTGATAAAAAAATTCGAGGGGGCTCCGCGCCACGCCATGGCTATTGTGGGTTCTGAACCGAAAACCACCTCAAGGGAATAGCTGGGGTGGTAGATATTCGGCCAGGTTTTTTTCTAAAAAAATTGAACAGAATTGTACGCAATGTCCGGTGCTGGTGATTCATTGTGCCTGCAATGTGCACTGTCCACGAGCATGCGACTTGTGGCAGTCCGCGGTTTTCATTGTACAAATGTGCTGGTTTCCGTGCGGACAAGGGCTGATCTCAGCCCAGCTGACGCTGCAGCATTGGCCACCGACCAGAGCCCGTGACGTCACGCTGCTGGCGGGCGCCCCTGACGCGTCGTTCGCCCGCCCGCCGCCAGGTGGCCAACAAGGACGACTGGAACTCGCTGGTGATGACGGCCAAGATGACCAACAGCGTGGAGCTGACGGATGTGCTCCGCTTCGTCGGCACGTGGGCCGGCACCGGGCAGCAGGGCTACGCCTTCAAGTAGTGCCCGTCAGCCGCACCCAGGCCGCCGGCAGGCCCGACCCGACCGGTGGTCTCATGAGACGCGTTTCTCGCGTCGGCTTTCGCTGATCTCGTGTTGCCGGTCTGCGTGTGTTACGGGCGGAGGCGCCCGCGCCACCGCCGCGCGGTCACGTCGCCGCTGTTTTTTTCGTAGGGATTTCGAACGTTAGCACGTCACACCGCTGTCATTGTATACATTCCGTGAAGCTCGCTAATAAATGCTATCGTCCGTTTGGAGTGAGAGATTTTCGAACGGGCGGAGCCAGGCCCTGGGATGCGAAGTGAGGAGGGAACGATGGCGATAGTGAGTGTGGTGTGGCGCCGGAGACTGCACATTTTGGTTGGCTTATTGAGTCGGAGATGTTTTCATCATCATAGAACTGCCCACAGCACACGCGACAGTAACTATGATACAGTACCTATGGGTATGGAGGACGCCGAAAGCACCGCCGTTAGGTTATTACTCATCGCACTGATGAATGTTCGCCGGCAACCCGTCAGCCCAATCATGACGAGCTTCAGAGCCGCGCATGTGAGAAACACAAACCGAGGATCCACTATACAGATCTATTAGCATTAGAACGGAAGTCTTATTAGCATGAGACGGAAGCATCTATTAGCATCAGAACTAAAATAACTTATGAAGCCAAATCTGCCGCGGCTGGATAAAACCCCGCTAGGGTGTACCCGTTACCCGCGCAGGCAACAGGGTTTAACCGGACTTTCAACGGACGTAAAATGACTTCCACGTCTTCAGCTTAGTGACATGGATAGTCATATATATATATATATATATATATATATATATATATATATATATATATATATATATATATATATACATATATGCATGCATATATATATATATATATATATATATATATATATATATATATACATATATGCATGCATATATATATATATATATATATATATATGCATGCAAAGATTTGGGCAATTCATCCCTACATTTGTGTTTGGGTACACTTCCTCGTAACTCCGTTGACTCAATGTCGACGTCGAATCCCGCACGCGTATTAAAGGATGGGGATTTCCCCCTACCTCAACTGGTTGGCCCTCAGACCGATTCATACTCTAGCGAGAGTCACGCCCAACTTTGCTAGGGATCCAGAGTAAAGGTTTTGAAACGAAAGTCGGTAGTTTGAATGTGAAGACCACTGGCAGTGGTATGACGGTGGGTGGAGCGGGCGGGGGGTCGCAGGGGCGTCGCTAGGATCTGATGCCCGGGAGGGCAGGCCAAGCTCGCCGGGAGAAGAGACAAACTCGTGCTGGGAGTGAGACGAGGCGATTTGTTTGGGCCAACGCAATAACAAAAAGGCTGTCGTTGGAACTGGGAACCCACAACAAGGCTCCAGGAGGGAAGGTGAAGAAAATGGCTTTCCAACCGCGACACCCTGGAGCACGGTTCCACGCCTCATCCATTAGTGATGCCCTTGATGGGTTCAGTCCTACTCTTCCAACTCATGCTATCTCCATTTTAGGAGCTGTTCGGAGGCCAACCTCTACTGGCTGGGACAGAACCTTGGCATCGGCCGGTAAACTGATCGCGGACTCCAAACCACCACTGAATAGAAGGCACCGGTATGCTCTGGGGAGGGGAGCGAAATAACAAGCTGGACAGCTCCAAACTTGACAGGTTAGCCAACTCCACCACCCAGCGACACCTGAGCAAGTCTGTCAGTCCCATGTCATCGCCAGATACGGTTACGGACTGGCACCACGGAAGGTAAGTGCATGTTTAAGGCCACTTCAAACGTTATTGGGACCCCTCAACGAGGACACAGGGCGTTCCGGTTGTGATATGTATTGCTTCTGTCATTTTTACAGTAGAAGACCAAACACGATAATATCAGCTGGAGGGCAGCGAACGAGTATGTCGTACAGCGCCAAACTGAAACTCCACAGCCAAGCACTCACTCTCGTAATGGCTATAGCCATTTGTGCGAGTTTCCTATTTGCCGACCTAAAACCACTTGGAAAAGCTACCCATCAGAAATTGGAGCCTGTGCGCCAGTTGAGCAGCATCGGGTCCTGTCGGTCCCGATGTTGGTGGGGGCCAGCCGCGCACGCCGCCGCCGGCGTACACCGGCGTCGGCCGCGCGGCGCTCCACTGCTGCGACGCTCACCGGCAGGAGCGTGACATGGCGAGGACACCGCAAAAACAGGCGAACACCGAGGATGCGAGATGAGATGATTATTATCAGGACCGCTGCCGATAGCAACACGGACAATGGAGGCGCTATGCATAGCACAACACAACAATATGCAATCATAACGTCGACAGAGGGGTAAGTAGCACCGTTAGTCATTCATGTTTGTGGGGTAAAAACGCGGGTTGTCTTCAAAAATATATCACACGACACCCACAAGTGGGCAAAACAACTATTAACAAACATCAGCAATAGCACGATAGCCTCAGTCATGTGTTGTTGCCCACTTGCCCACAAACGCTTTCACTGGCTTTCTACGCTAACCAACTGCACGGTGTACCGGCCCGATGCCTTCAAGAGTGGCGTAGGCTGTCAACAATTGCTACCATCAGCCGCCAACACCTGCCGACAAGGTCGTTACACTACAGCACCAGTCGGAGCCGCCGGGAGGAACGCCCGCCGTCGGCTGTACGCCGGCGGACTCCCGAGTACCGCAGCGAGCACCGCCGCCGGCGCCGCGCGGGTGGGGGGCCAGGCCAGGGGGCCGCCGCCACTCAGAGCCAGTCGATGGTCAGCCGCCAGCCGTTTTCCGCCACGGTGCGGCGCAGCTCGGCCGCGTCGCGCCGCGAAACGCCGCGGCACCGGCGCACCCCGAGCTCCTCCAGCAGCGTGCACTGCACCACCAGCCGGAGCGCCGAGTCCAGACTGAACTCGTCACAGCTCTCCAGGCTGAGCCTGCGCAGCCGGCTCAGGCCGCCGGCGTCCAGCGTCCGCTCCAGCAGCGCGTCTGTCAGCGCTGCGCAGTGCTGCAGGCAGACGTGCGACAGCTGCGGCGCGGCCAGCACGCGTTCCAGCAGCGCCGCCGGCGCCGGCCGCTCCGGCTCCTGCAGCAGCCAGAACCGCTCCAGATGCGATAGCGGCGGCCCCAGCCGGGCCGGCGGCGCCTCCTCCTCCTCCTCCTCCACGAACGTGCAGAACAGCAGCTCGAGCCGGCGCAGCGCCGGGCAGCAGCGCAGCAGCAGGCCGGCAGACAGCTCCTGTACGGCCGTCAGCGCCAGCTCGGTCAGGCCGGCGCCGCGCGCCGCCAGCAGCGCCGCCAGGCCGGTGCAGGGCGTGGCCGGCACGCTCAGCGCTAGCCGCGACAGCCGCGCCAGCTGGCCGGCCGGCTCCACGCTCTCGTCGCCATCCAGCTCGAGCTGCAGCAGCTCGACGGCCGGGCAGCCGGGCGCCGCCACCTCCAGGCCGGCGGCCGACGAGCCGTGCAGCTCGGTGAGGGCCAGCGGCGCTCGCTCCGGCCGGCGCAGCAGCAGCTGCTCGACGCCCACCACCGTCTCCGGGTGATGCAGACTGCAAGGCAGGGACGGTCGCCCGGTCAGCGCCGGAGCCGACCTCCGCACGTCTGCGAGTCTCAGCCCGCTACATTATAATCTCGCCGCCATATGTATACTATACACATGCTACAACACGGAGGCAGGCATTCCGTTGGGGCCCTTAGCGTGTTATGTTCGAACGCTGTTGGGGTATCTCTCCTGATGGCGCTACACAGAGACCGCTCCACACTGCTCGCGTCATCGACGAATGACGTCACACATGCGGAACAGCTCACCTGGTGATGTTGGGCATGGTGTTGAGGACGGCGTAGGCCGACTGTGCCGAGACGCTGCAGCCGTCCACGTTGAGGGAGACGATGGAGGCGCCGGCGCCGCTGGACTCGGAGAGGGCGGCCGTGCTCAGGGAGGTGAGGCCCAGGTCCGTCACGCCCGACTGCGCCACGTTCAGCTCCCTGTCCGCCACACAGACCGGCCCGATGACTCCACCGACACAGGACACAGGCAGCCGTGCGCCAGGTGGTGGTCGGTCGGGGATCAACGCTCAACGGCCGCGCAACGGATACAGTTTTGATAGCATTTGAACCATCCATGGAATCGGTTCACCACAGCAAGCAGGATACAGTGTTACCTTGCTTGGTTTGTGTTCTACAAACATATCAGTGAAGAAAATGATAGCTCATGAGCCTATGCACCAGGCTACTAAGCTTCACACACGGCAAAGTCGCACGACACTTGCGCATGCACGTGCGTACAACTGCGTGGTTTGGTTGGGGAAGACATGGAGGATGTGGCTACAGCATTCCCTTGTCTGGATGCTGACCCAAACCTAGCTAGCCATGTCACACATAGCACACCCTCCGGCGGCCCAGACCGCATCGGCGGCGCCCGGCGCGTGTGTTCGGACCTGAGCTGGAGGCAGTAGGCGCCGATCACGGACATGACGCGGTCCGAGGTGTTGGTGCTGGCCAGGTTGATGCTCTCCAGCTGGCGGGCCGTGGAGAAGAGCGCGATCTGGCCCTGAAGCGGCAGCTTCACGTTGCCGGACAGGTCCAGATGGCGCAGGTGCTGGCCAGGGCGTCCACAAGCAACATCAGAAACAATATCAGCGTCCAGGGCCAACATCACAAGCAATATCAGCGTCCACAAACATCAAAAGCAGTATCGACGTCCACGAACACCAGAAGCAGTAGCAGCGTCCACAAACGTCAGAAGCAGTATCGGCGTCAACAAACAACATCAGCCGCAACACAGGCCCGGTCAGCGCGTCCAGAGCCAACATGTGGAGGGAGAGAGGTCTCGGCTTTGCAGCTACACTCACACAGATGTGCGGGCTTCAACAAACAACATCGCTCTTGCTCTCGCTCCACTCCCAAGCCTTACGGGCGACAATGTCGCACAACACGCGTCGTCCTCTCTCTGCCTCGCGGCAGCCCTGCGTAGTCCGTCCCTCCCCCACCTCTCGCCCCGACGTGAAACGCCGGGCAACTGGAGCCGCGCGGCACCACGCCGCGGACGAGAGCCAGTGATGTTGCGAAAGAGTGACCTTGATCTTGGTGCCGTGTGGAAGTACTTGTGTAGCAGCTTGATGTGACAGATGCCGCCCCTTTATGTTGTGCATATATATTCAAAAGACCATCTGCCATATGTAATACAGAAATACATCAAACATGACAGGCAAAATATCAGCATGAACTTTTTAAAAGTGTGTGGCTTGATTTCACTATATCTTATTCAGTGTTGTGAGCTAGCAGGTGCCCCATACACACTCATTATACTTTCCCTGCACCCATTGGTACTCAAATTTGCCTAGTTTCTGTCCATGAGTGGGTTATTATCACGTATTGTTATCATGATCAATTTCAATTGTGGATCTGTGGATCAATTTCAAATCCCAACTACCAACATACACCCTTCCAACAATGCATCACAAAACTCCTGGCAAGTATAAATCCAAAAAGGCTGAAATGAGTGACATCATAATAATGGCATGACATGTTCAGCACTACTGATTACCCCAATAACAAAGCTTTAACCAAATCTGAGGCATGAGGGAGTAAGGCACCTGCCCATCCATCCTGGAACACCCCAGTTTGGACCTGTATGGCCTGATCAGGCACACATAAGCATCAACTCACCACACACCTATTGACGATTGTGTTCATGACAGTGCCCATGTTCTTGCTCACATGGGACAGGTCCAGGTCCACCAGGCTGAAGTCCAGCAGCAGCTGAAGATGCCCAATCTTCAGCAGGCCATGCATCTTCAGGTACCGGATCAGCTTGCTCAGGAGGAGGCCGGCTGTGAGACAGCAGCTTCACATGTCAGGCCAGGCTTCATGCTCCTGAGTAACTGCCATGCAGTACAGTGATGAAGGTTGACATGTAGACAACAGCCAGACTACAGACTTCAACTACCAACTACAGGCACGACTTCACACCAACTTGGTACAACTTGGTTCAAGTTGGTACAGATACCAACTTCAACTTCAACTTCAACTATCAACTACAGACTACCACAAATTTGACAATGCCGCAAATTTGTTGGTGTGATAGTATAAGCTGCTGCAGAGTAAAAAGCAAAAAGCAAAGGCTTGCTCAGTAAAAAGCCAAGAGCACCCGCTTCTTGAGTCTTGTTGTGTACAGTAATGTACATTTCTGAGATCATCATGTATGTAACTGAGTGATTCTGTTCCGGTGTGAAGCAAATCAAACCAAAAACCCTGTATGGAACAGAGTGATTATGTGCAGGTGTGAGCTAAAGCATACCAAAACACTTTCTGCTACAGATCTGCAATTCACACCACACACTAGCAACCTCAGTAAAGATCATGTTCTAAAAACAAAAAGGCTGGACACTGATGCACACAAAACTGATTTGGCAACACACAACTATGCACATGTCACTGATCACATCTGTCTACAAATAATGGGCCTTATATATTCTGAGTCACATCTATATTTTACTGCCTGAGGTAAACCTATCCAGCTGGCATGACCATGAAACAAGATATTATTTCTTGAAGCCTGTGAAGTATAGTTTTTATTGAAGGGGTACTGGATTATCTATGAACATTGGGTAGCTATGCTGCTTTCACCAATATTCTCACTATTTCTGACAAAACCCAATAAGAGCATGTGCCATAAGTCAACATATCCCTTAAGATAAAATGGCATCCAAAACCTATTCCTGGCTCAAGTTATATGTGGGTAAGCACCAGCATTACCATGCACAGCAAGTACCAAAACTCTTCACTTTCCTCAAATGCAAGTGTAGCAGACTGTACGATCCAATGGAACTACAGATTTCTGCCTGAAAATGTCATTGAGACACTATGAAACTGTGAGGCATGTCAGAGTTACCTTGGTACAGTTCACTGCCATATATTTATGAGCCTCATCAGCATTTTGCTATGGATAGGGTAAAATAAAAAGGGATTTGCATCAACAAAGGAACATATCTGTGATGCATACTCACTTGAATGTTATAAGTTTAATTCCCACTTCACTCACGGGGGCCATGGAGGTCACAGTCTCTCATCTGATATGCATGGGTTCCCATAGTGATAGAAAATTGTGCCACCAAGTGAGTCGATCAGGGCTCAATAACCATGTACAGTCCATAAGAGCTGCTGCTTGGCCCAAGGGTGATAGGCCCAATCAATTGAAAAATAGCATGGCACTTAACTATGTGATATTTTGACTTCAATTTTACAAGATAACACTCTGGCCTGGGCCTTTCCAGACCTTGCTCAAAGGCATTTCCTTGCCATGACAGATCCAAAACAATATGCCCTGCATTACCTGACTCTCACATATTTTTTTTCTCTTCCTGAAATAGTGCCTTTGAGATGTTTGAAATCTGTCCCATGCTTTGGGAGCATTTTTCTGTTCTTTGTAACTGCAAGATTTGGGCTTGGTTAATACTCTTTGCTGGTAAGTGCTGTTGTGAAACCCACAGCGCTTGGCAGCAGGATTTGGCAATATCCTAAAATGAGTAATGTGCTTCTTTGAGATCAAATGCACTTTTGGATATTTTTATTTCAAATATATATATAATATTGCAAACACATGACATTTGCCAGCATATCCACCATGACCATGCAACAAATGAGCCAACACATCAAAACACTGCAACCAATTGAAATCGATTGACATATACTCACGGAGGTTAGAAAATGGGCCAAGTAGATATAAGCATTCCCCCTTGCCATGGAAATTCTCATTGTAGTCTTTGCACCACAAATCGTCCATGTTGTGTCCAATGTTTTTGAAACACAAGTCTTCTAGGCTTTGAGGGCTAAAAACATGAGGCATCGCTCCAGAGATTTAAAAATACGTGTTCTTTAAAACCAATCCGAATCCCAGTTCACCTGAACAACTAAAAACAGTCTAACACCAACCCGCCCAAGGCAGCACGCCACCGTTCTAAAAGAGATCTGAGCACTGAACCACTCTGAACCAAGGCTGCAAACGAGAGGCAAAACCAACCGGTGATTCTCACTTCATCTTCCTTGACTTAGCGTGACGTCACTGGTGCTAGAACTTCAATGCGCGGTGGGCTCCTAGAGGGCGGCGTAATGTTAAGGGCGTCCGCACAAAAAGTCGACCCGCAGTTTGCCAAATGCCTTTTTTGACTGCCCTATAGCGACCTCCATATTAGGAATATATGAAATATCGACGTGCCTTAACTTCGAGTCAGCAAAATGGCGAACTGCAAAATGGCGACTTGAAGGAATGAAGACATGTCAAAATTGAGGAAGGCTCAATGACGAGCTGCAAAAAAAGGCGGCACATCATTACGTCGAAAAGCTTGAATGTCGAACTGCAAAACAGTGACAAGCAAAGAAGACAACATACCAAGTTGGTCAACGGCTAAATGGTAAGCTGCTTACAAGTGTTTCACATTTGAGCATGCTGAGGCCAGCTTCAGATATGATGGGAAACGTTTGTCATGTCACTATTAACCATCACCAACACCATATTCAAATATGACCCTTCTGTATTTCGCCGTTTATCCGTTCACTAGTATAAGATCGATATTCTGCAAAGGTTACTATTTTTGTTTTGCTTACATTTCTTACAGGCCGCTTTTTTGCAGTTCGCCATTAAGCCACTCGCCATTTTGTCATGACAGTTGTTTTACATTTTGCCTTTTTGCAGTTCGCCATCTAGGCGTTTCGACTTTTTGCGCGTCGGCTTTTCTACACTCCCCCATTCCGTAGCCGCTAATAAGCAGTCGACAAAAAGGCATTCGCCAAACCTGATTTTCGACCTTCTGTGCTAGAATCAGTGCTGAGAGGCAACCGGAACACTGAAATGCTTGCACATATGGTGAAAAAGCTGTAAGCGGGAGATGCATATGACCGGTGAGCCGCTTACGTAAAACGTTTTCACAAGCATGAAGTTGCAGGTTTTGCAAGCCTCTGTGTGGTTAATTATTAAATCGCAAAGGCTTGCAAAGCAAAATCCCACAAACGATACTTGATCGCCGCAAGGCAGCAAGAACATCGGGCTGTCTCTGCATAGATAGCGACCTAACTTTGGGTAGCAGATTTATATGACCAGCAAGCCGATTGCGTAAAATACGGCGACAAGTGCGATGCACATGACAGCCTTAAACTGCAGGTCGTTGCATCGCGCTTCGATCTTACACGGCCTCGCAACCCGTGGTCTTGCCGCAGACGGTGGCGCGAGTGGATAGTCTAGCGCGGAGAGTCTATTGTCTGCTGCGTATATATATATATATATATATATATATATATATATATATATATTGCACCAGATGTGTCAGATGCCCCGTTCTCGGTCCGTGCCAGTCTGCATTTCGCCGCATGGCCGACAGTGCTCGGTCCCTATCTGTCTGCTTAGCCGTCGTGGGTGTCGAGCCCTTTAGGCGTGTATGAGCGCCACTATTCTTAGCGTCTAAGTGGCATGCGGGCATAATTATGGATAGCCAAACTGGAGTGCGGAGTACAGATATGCATGTGATAACTTTCTTTTGGCAAGAACAGCCGCTCACTGTACAACTGATGAATCTCCGCGTGCTTCATGCCAGGGTTAGTGCGCTCCAGTAATTACATTTACTCCACTACTGAGCATGGTTTGCTTGGCCAGCAAGCCCACATAAAGGGGTGAGTGGGCAAAACAAATGGGCAGCACGTCCAAACACATAATGAGTAACATGCACATCTGTGTGGAACCGCTTCATGGTTGGCTTGTTTTGGCGTCGGTTGCCACATGCCCAGCCTTTCGCTACAACATTTGTGCCTGGTAACAAGAGAGGGGTTTGCTTAGTTATTACAGTTCTTAGTTACGCTGTGCCATTCAACCCTGAGAAAAACCAATTAACCATTAGTGGCCAGCGTGGATGCTAGCCGGCTGCCGCATAGTAGCAGGGACAGCAGAAGTTCTCCTAAGTTTCGGGGTAACCATTTTGGTTACTTCTTTCCAGTCGAGGCATAGTGGAAAAATTTTAAATTTTAAAAAAGTTGAAGACACATTCCTATCCCCAGTACCCAAGCCTTTGCGTAGATGTATTAACTTACCATACCGATTGAGTGTTGGCTTGGCTTGGCGGAATATAAGCTCGCAAAGCGCACGCTCATTCGTGCCGTTTAATTCCACCTGATCGGTTCACACATATACGTACCTACCAGTAAAAATCTGCTTGTTATTGGCAAGGAGATAGCTCAACATTAAGGTTACACGCCTCCAACAGTCCCCGCGCGCACGTTTTTGCTTTTTATGCTGATTACACTTTAACCATCAGATGTACACACTTGCAATTTCCTCATCATCATGGTCCCCATTAAACTCTAGGCATTCGCCCCCCCCCCCTCGACTAAATGCACCTGCTCCCACCAGTTTGTTCATTACCGGTACGAAGGTAGTCCGATATCCCGGCCGCTCAGCTCTGCAGCATTTATGGCGTAAGGATTTTACATTTCCACGCTGATTTCCTGGTACTTGCTTGCCGCATAAGCTTGCAAAGCACATCATCATATTCTCCATTCAGTTGTATCCAATCAGGTTATTGGTCATACGCATCTCACGCAAGCAGTTTGTTCATTAGTTGCACGAGAAGTTCCTATGTTCCGGCTGCTCCGCGGCGTTACGCCCCACAGCTAGCAACCGCGCTGCATTGAAGTCTTTGTTTCAGTGACGTCGGCGCCCCGAACAAAGCCTGGAAATCTCCACTTACGGCTTCAACGGACAGGTGAATGTAACCGATCCGCCAGAAATGTGTAACAGGCGAGGACTACCAAATTCTTTTGTACGGAATAAGAGGAAAATAGTAGCAAAAATGGTATCTATCTACTGTTTAAGAAGCACTTACAAACATATCGGAATTCCATGACGTGCAGTGGCGTAGCCAAGGAAGGGGCTGTACTTTAAGGCAGTTGTAGACGCTCGCGGAGCCTCTACAAGATAGAAAAGGCCCCCAATGCGTCAAAATGTGATGCCGACATTAAACGGGTTCCCGAATAAAAAGCGAGGCCTTCATAGCGACAAAGTGAGAACTCTTTGGCCAAAACGGGCCGTCATGGAATGCAGTAAAGGAGGTGCTTTTAGGGCCACGCCCTAGGAGTGTTGGGCTACCCCTGAAGGTGAGTGGAGCGCCCGTGGAGCGAAATAAGGTCGAAGGACCCAGTCCTTTTTGCCTGTTTCAGGTGCCCGTAAGGCTCTTACGAGATAACAAGGCGCATGAGGCCTGCTAGTCAAGTTAGCGTGGTAATGGGATACCGATGTTTATGTTACGCGGGAGACTCCGCGTTATATCGTCATCGTTTCATTCAACTCAGTTTTTTGCCGTCCGCGTAACTAGGAGTACTGGCTCCCCATTTTTTCGGCAGTATTGTTAGGCTCACCCGACGGATTTTTTGTGTCCCGACGGTTACCAAACAGCGATCACGAGATTCCCAAATCCCAGCTTTGATAAAAGCGACAGGCACGGTGGCTGACTCCACGGTTTAGATGAAGTCCCTGAATGTTTTTTTTTTTAAGTTGCGTGCTCGGACACAACGTTGTGCAATACATAATGTTGTGGATATATTTCTGGAGGATTATTAGTGACTGTGCTCACTAATAACCAAGCTCACGAAAGAAAAGCGCGTTGGGAGTAATGAGTCTTCGGGCAATAATCATACTTGCTGCGATTAAATATGCATGTCATTGTCAAGGACAGCTGTTCGCTTAATGACCCACTGTATTGGTCTGCAGGTAATTAACATCCGGGCAATTCGCTGTAATAAACCGACTAACCGGAGCGACTGCAAATGGTGGCGAAAACGTTGGCTCACCGACATTACATGGGCTTTTACGAAGCAAATACTTGCGTCCCAACATGGGTAACAAACGTCTCTTTACTGAGATTACGCAACTAGCATTCATGCATCCACACCATCTCTTGCATGCCTGACACCGGTCAGACCTGTGACCTATGAAGACCTGTGGTGTGATCGCTACACTCAGTCTGCGCAAGCTATGTGCAACGACCAGGCCCATTCAATGATGAACAAAACCGCGCTAGCATACACCACACATGCTTCGGAATCTGTCCCCAGCAAACAGTAGCCAGCTGATGTAAGGCTCACCACAGCATCACCGCATAGCCCCACCCTATCGTCACTGAACTATGCTGACATCATCCATCGGTCAGCCGGAATTCCTCATCGGCTCACAATACTCCATCGCCACCCGCGGGAGCCCTTGCCTGTGATGCGTAGGCCTACCTCCATGGCTACCCGCGGGGAGCCCTTGCCTGTGATGCGTAGCCCTACCTCCATCGCTACCCGCGGGGAGCCCTTGCCTGTGATGCGTAGGCCTACCTCCATCGCTACCTGCGGGGAGCCCTTGCTTGTGACGCGTAAGCCTACCTCCATCGCTACCCGCGGGGAGCCCTTGCTTGTGATGCGTAGGCCATCCATCGTTACCCGCGAGGAGTCATTGGGTCAAGCATCTGGGATGCATTTAGCCCGTCGTGACAAAATTCGATTGAACTCGTGGAAAACTCACAGTCGCCCTTAACTATGCGCAATAACTGAACTTTGCGAGATGATTATTTTGACGTATAAATATGGACCAGGTTGCGGCGTGTCGCGTCCCATGGCACACAATTCAGGCCGTGCGCTATTCATTGACCTGTGTTTTCCTACATAGTGTTCATCGAAACGCATAAAGCAATATCATGCAGGGGTCAGCACATCGTTTAACAACACACATAAGCGACATGTTTGCATATTAGATATGCTAATTACTATGGTACGATACACACACGAAAGGAGTGTACGACATATAATGGACCAGAAAAAATGTGCGAGTGCGTAAGCTGAACATTCTCACAGAACTTACCATTTTTTAAGGTGCATAAATACAACGCAAGGTTAGAAAGCATGGAAAGCGCCGGGGATGTCAAAGAACCGCCAA